TTGTGAATAAATCAATACATCTTCCCCTTTACTTAAACAACGAAAAAAAAAATTAAAGTTTTTATTTTTATAGTTTTTTTTTTCACTGCATTGAATTTTTTTTTTTTTTTTTTATGGTGCATGTTTATTTTTCTGTGCTATTCAGCACTGTTAAACTTTTATAAACTCTTTAGAGGCATAAACTGAATTTAACTTTAAAAATAAGGTTCTCTAGCTCGTCCCATTGAAGAACTGTGATATTTAGTAACGCAGGAGCCTACTACGACAGGTAAATAAATATATTGATTTATCGCTCGCTTATTCATCATCAACAACAGGCCAGAGCTGATTCTCAAAACACCTAAGGTTAAAAAATCTGTCATTTACTTTTAATTACTATCAGAATCAGATCAGTTGGCCTTTTTTCATTTGTAATGTGACTGAAAGTTTTGGAACATTCTTCAAGGCATTTTTCACACTGTACTCAGTTTTTCGCAGCTTTCAGATGCATGTCTGCCCTGTAATCGAAGGTTAACGCAAATGACCCCTCAAGGAACTCAAAAAGCGAGTGATGTCATCGTAAAGGAGTAAAATTATAATATTCAATTCTTTTAGATAAGGACCCGTTTTCCTTTATTTTGCCAAAAAAATATTGTGAAAGAGCAGATTATCAAGAATGCAATCTTGGTCAAATCCGTAATTTTGACAAAAGATTTTTAATCCCGGAGTGTTAGCCATAGCAAGTCAGTTGGTAAGCTAATCACCGCAAAAGAGACTTTAACAATTGCGTGCAAGGAATCGTACCTCCCCTCCATCCAACAGCCTAAAACTGATTACTGGCGCAAAACAGCGATATGGGGCCGTGGCGTCGCATTGGTCTTCATAAACTAAAAAGGTGATATTATTGTTCTGCAAAGAAGTGCAAATTTCTTATCCAATCAACAACAAAGCTGGCTGCTGCAGGTGAAGGAACTGGTGCAGTCTTGTGATGAATGAATAATAATTACAATGACTGACTTATAAGGTGGACTTTTTCTCTTTATCCGGCGAATTGTAATGATGAGTAAGTAACGCTTTCTCCCTCTGCCACTGTCTGGAAAGACATATAGTGGACTTTTACTCGATGATAGTCGGAAAGGGAATGTTTTCAGATAAAAACAAGAAACATACGCCTTGCGTGTCAGTTGATTGTTCTACAGAAATAAAACGCACCGAATATAATAAATTACCTTTTTTGAAGCCATTGCCCGGTTTGCAAGTTATCGATGTAATTTTCTGTTGCGTTAGATACTGTGAAAATTGGGTTGAAAATTCGTCGAATAACTACAAAAGGATGTATCGAGAGAAACTGAAGCCGTGCTTAGTTTTGCTCTGACTTGCAAAGCAAATTCATACCATTTATCTCAAGCATTGAATTTTGTTACTCCCTGGATTTAAAGCCTTTTGTTATGTAAAGTTCAGACGCTGTTTAAAGTTTACCGTCAACTGACTGCTAAGTACATCCGGTGATTGCCTTTAAACCTGATCAGGTCGTCATTGCAAAAGTAAACACTCCCTACCCAGAGTTTTGTACGAAGTTTTCAGTTTCTGTAGCCGATGTATTGGCTCTCGACAAATCATGATCGCCCGCGATCGTAGAAAGAAAAATGATCGTTTCGATCGCAAAATAACTTAAACCCTTCCGTAGTGACATGGCAACCCGCATCAAGATGACAATCCAGTGATATATGCTACAGGCAAAGCAAATTGACAAAACTAAACATTAAAGTACAAAGCTGTTAATGGATTTTGCACTCTGCATAGGCAAAGAAAAAGTCAGATTTCTTCCTCTTACAAAGCAGATCTGTTCGTATATCAGCCGAGAATGAAGAGAGAAGCGCCAGCTATACTATTATTTAAAAAGGGTTGATTATGAGTGATCATAGCAAAATATTTATTTTTCCAATGATAGTTGACTAAATGTATACCTTACGAACTGAGGGGAAAAAATTGTTCAAGGCAAGCAATATAACGGCAATGAGACACAAGTTTGGTGACTAACCATTGTTTAGTGGGGAGTTTTCGAGGCATGTTACAAACTGAACTTCATGAGTCAATCCATGAAAGCTCACCTGATTGTAAATGTAGCTGTCAGGTGTCTGGAATCTTGCAGGTTTAACTTCATAAATAAAAGTTCTTGAGTCACCATTTTTTTCATGGAACTCTTAATTATCCGATGCATATTAAACACTGACAGTAAAAGATGCATTACTTTTTCGATGCCATTTAAAGCAGTGACCGTTACTTTGGTTTAGTCTTTTGCAAGCCGGTGCTCCGCGCCCGATCAGATCAGCTGTTAAACTGACGACCAAGCTAAAATTTGGGAAAAAAATACCTTGATGTTTCGTCCAATTGAGTGATAGCCAATATCATCTTCTGCCTCGGAACCACTGTTTTTCAAAGTATCAAAATCTCCTTCGTCGTTTTTCGCGAGCAAAGGGTCTTCCATTTCGACTTTTCGTCTTTCAAGCTTCGCGGCTCCCTCCTAGTTACACAGCCGTGTAAGTTACTTTCAACATGATCTGCCCAGACGAGAGACGCGATGTAGGTAGCATTTGATTGGCTAGGAAGTCAATGCTATTGTTAACTGGATCAACGTAATCATGATCGCATTGTGCACGGTTATTACGAGACCCCTTTTAAACAATGCCAAATTGGATTGCGTATGCATACGAATGGTAGATTTTTCTGAGACCAGACGGCTTGGGCAAACAAATAACGACTTAGTGCAAATAGATTGATCATTGGAGGCTATAGAGTTGTAAACTGGAGGAAAAAGGCTCTTTGTTCATTGGCACATTGATCAACATTTAAGGGTCATAGACTTGTGCGCGCATATTGCATTTATACGCGCCCATATTCGAACCCAGGTTGCACCAGACGCACGGCTTGCCTGCGTTGCGCAAGATTACCCTGTTGTTGCAAGCTTAGCCAAAAAATAAGAAACAACTTCTAAGTGCATCTTTGTCACCACTTCAAGGCTGAGATCAGTGAGATCAAGGAACCATCCACCTGCTCCACCACGTCTGTTGACTTGTGTTCGGAGAAAGCTCAACAGCCCCTCAGTCAAAACTGAACAACAAAACTTCCATTTGAACCAAACAAAAGGACAAGTATTGTAAGTTCATATTTACGCTGGACAATTGCTTTCTGGAATCGCGTAATCCCCAAGGAGTAACGTCCAATTATAGTTGTCTCAGCCCTTCGATGTTCGTTTTATCGTAGTCTCTGCCTGGGTCTCTGAGTCTTACCCCTCACATTCGCCAATTAGTCTCAAAACTTGGTCGAAATTTTGAGTTGGAAGTTAGCTTGGGCAAATGTGGTACTTATGGAGCAGAATATAATTTTTAGTTCCTTTTCGTCTGATTTTGAGAGATCCATCAGCAAAATGTTTAAGGGCTAGTTGCTTTTTTAACGAGATCACCAAGACCACCTCCCTTCAAGAAGTAATCTTCTTGGTTAATCCCTACCATTGATTACTCGCAGGAGGTCTCTAATACGTCCTCGGTTTAGGGCACGCGAATCACAACTCTACGCTCATCTTTACTGAAAAAGAAAGAAATACTTGAAAGAATACAAGAGAAGAAGGAGGAGGAGTAGGAGGAAGAGACAAAGGAAAAGTGTTAACCTTTCAAAGAGGGCATATCATGACAACAACGCCTCTCAAATTTTCAGAAGGGAAGCTTGACTCTAAGTTATTCAGAAGCGCGAGCAAAAGGCGCAGGTTAAAACACAGCAGCGCACAAACGAAACATTAGTCAGTCGAGCTAAGAAAACTGAAAACATTTAATTGAACTCAAACATCATAAAAAAGTACCTTGTGTTTTTCATCTCAAATCCATTATAAAGCAGTGGATTAACGAGCTTACGAATGTGCTGACAAAATCTCTACCAGAAGCGGGTAATCGGCTCATGTCTCTATAAAATTTCAAGTGGCCTGTTTCTCGAAATGTCCTGGTAACTTTTCGGGCCCGTTAAGCTTTGCATTGAAGATGAAAGTTTCAGTAATTTTGAAAATGATACAATGAAACTATCAGTTAACAAAGCAAAACAGACTGGTTTGTGAGCGAGGAGCTGTGCTACTGTTCAACAGGTTTTGATTTTAAAACTAGTTGCCTTCGGGTCCGATAAGTTACCGGGCCTTTCGAGAAACAGGCCCCTGACCACTAACTACTGATGCAACTTAAAGATTGCCAGAGAGAGTAGCCTTTCAAATAAAGCTTTGCTTTAGAAGAAGAGTGATTGTCTTTGTCTTTTTTATTTAATTTACTAAGAGGCGAGAGGATATCTTCTTCTTGGATGTTTGCAAGGCATTTTTTCCCCGCAAAGAACTCGGGCTGAGCGTCTGATGCGCCAAAAAATTGCGCTAAAAATTTACTCGCAGAGAGACTGGGGCGAGGTAATGAAATAGGACATCAAAGATGGCGGACGTTGCAGATCCGAAGGAGCAAAGAGTTTTGCGGGTTAACCAGGTACGTTTATTAGTCATTTATTTTTATCTATAGTCTTTCAGCCACTCATTGTTATATGAGAGAGTAATTGAGTAAACTGAACGCTATTTGTAGTTGGATGCAGCTCAACTAGATGAAGAAATTATCCACCTTTTGCGGACTCAACTGAACAGAGCATTCCAATATTTTGAGGTATTGTTTTTTTAAGGACAGTATACAATTTACTATCATTTAACGTAATTCTTAAGTGGGGTTTTGACATTTTTCCGAAAATTTTCCGTCAAATTCCCTGCGCGCGGGCAAATCATTCCAGTCAGATGCACAGAAATTTTCATACCCCGGGCTGCACATGGTTGCCTTTGAGTTAAGTTTTACCTGTTCTGGTTTCTAGTAAAAACAATAACTGACATCTTCTATTGAAGTTTAACAACTGTATCAAAATACTTTAGTCCTGCACAGCATTGTAAAACATTTCCAAACTTAAGTATTAACCTTATACTGAGTTCAATCTAAATTATAGAATATCCACTAATGGCCCTGTGCCATTGTCAATTAGTACACGTCTGGGGAAGAAAGAGTCAAATATCCCCTCCCCTGGGAAAAAGTCCCAACCCAGGGCCAACATTGACAATGAAATCCTCACCCTAGCCCTGCCTCCCCCCTTTTTGGTCTGTGATAGGTCAGGATTTGGAGAACCTGAGAGCACACCCCCACCAGGAAAGCCCCCCTTCCCCCCAGGTCATCACCCTGTAGATTAGCTTCCTCTTGCACTCTGTATGTTAGCGCTCTGCAATCTATAATTATTTGTTTATTTCTATAATTATTTCTTTATTAACCACTGCTTTTGTAAGAGGGTGTAAGTTATTCTGCAATGGAGTGTAATGCACAATGCAGCAATGCAGCATGGTGGCTGGATTGTCAATTTTGGTGGTAAAAAAAATGAGAATAAGAGAATGCCTTTTTGCACTAGGCTGGCGTGTTAACGAAATATGAAGCTGAACTGAATGCTGTTCTACGATTTCTTGTGTGGAGGGTGAGTATACTGAACCCTTTACCTGCCAAGATCTGATAAGAGATTCTCCTTTTTGGCTGGTATAGATTTTATTGTGCATTAGCTTAGAGAATTTGGGTTTAAATCAAAGCACATCCTCTGGCTGCTACATTTGCTTTTTTCTTATCACCTTCCTGCCATAGAATGTCTTGGATACATGTATTATACTGGAGAAATTAGATGGCAATCAATCTGGAGGTTAAAGGTCTTAGCTCAAAAACTACATACATACATGTAGATGTTCAGGTCCAAGTTTTGGTTTGAATTTGTTTCTGTTGCTTCAAAGTTATTATCATTATATTGTCTTATGTCAAAACAAAAGAAATAAATAGACGAGCCACAATTAAAATTTAGTCACATCATAGATTTTATGACTCTGTAGTATGCTTGAATAACCTCTCGGATCAGATGTGGTTGTATGCAAGTTGATAAAAAAACCATGGTTATTGAAGCAGAAAGCTTAGGTCTGATAGCTGATCATCCTAATAAGTTGCATGGACTAAGAGTGCAAGGCATCAGTTTGCCATGATATCTCCTTAGTTGCCAGCCATTTTTGTCCTTGTCAATGTCAGGACTGTGCTCTAGCAGAGCCAGGAGATTGCTTACTGTTTGTCTTGGGTGAATAGAAAATCTCAGTGTTTTGCATAGAAATGGGCACCCTTTATTTCATAGGTTCTGAGTATTTCTAGGGCTCCCCACAGGTTTTCTTAGAACACAGCCCTGAAGATGCTTTCTGCCTGCCTTTGCTAGAAACTTATGCCCCCTCATGTTCCTTGCATTCTGCGACATCCCCAAATCCTTCACTTCCACCTATGGGGTCCGAGCTTATCATTTGCTGCCCCCAAACTTTGTAACAACCTGCCAGTAAATATTTAGAACAACGAGTTCCTTAGATTCTTTTAAAAGGAAGCTTAAGACCCATCCCTTTCAGGATGCATTCTTATAGCATTTCTTAGAATTTTTATGGCAGTTTTAGCATTGTAGATTTCCAATTTTTTAATATGTCAATTGATTGTAATTGAAGGCCATGATAGATTTTTATTTCTGTAAACACATTGAGGCAATGCATAATGCATTCCAAAAACTGTAATGATAATATTATTTATTTTTGTTATTATTATTAAAAGGAGGTTTTCTATCCTGCAATGATGTTGCCAAGGGTCTAGGGTCTACTAAAAGCTGATGCTAAAAAGCAACAAACAATAATCTCTTTTTACATTCATCAGTTTTCAAGGTTGGGTGAGTGTGTACCTAGCTGTGGTCTAAAAAAAACCCTTTGATTCAGTTTTCAGTTTACAACTGTGAAGCCACTGTCGGCCAGATAATGCTTAATATGAAGTATAGCTCAACAGGTAAGAGATAAGAATTGTTACATTTATGAAACTCAAGATAGAATGTTGGAACCTTTATTTAAGTGTCAAAGTATTTATATAAATTATTGGGGACTTTAAGAAAGCTATACTATTAAAATGCTTTTAAAAACAAAGTGAATATTTACAAAGGTAGAATACTTAGTTTGATTTTACTTAACCCTTGAATAAGGTAGCAGACTACTACGCAGTTGTTATGCACTAATTCCATTGTCTATCACTCATTTTTGTTTACTTGTAGCAATTTGGCATTGGTTGTTAGTATCTGTTTCATTGGTTAAGGAAAATCACTCTAAGAAAACCTACACTACTTGTTAAGCTTCAAAAGTGAATATTTACAATACTAAGATTTTTAATAAAAATGTCTTTAAATGAAGAATGATTGTTGCAGTTGTGAATGCAATTGCGTAAGAAGCCTGAAGAAAATTCAGGACTTCAATGGGATTTGAACCCATGACCTCATGATACAATATTGTGATGCTCATTCTTCATTTGATTTAATTTGCGCAGTTCTTATATATAACTTATTTCATATACATTTGTCAGAAATATGTCTTTGTTAGCTGTGTCTCTAGAGGGCACAGCTTTTGCTTTTAAGAGGCACGAACATGAACTCTATTAAATGCTCAGCAAAAGAAGAAAATGGGAGAAGAAAAGTGAAAGGAGTGAAGTGGGAGAATGCAAGGGGAAAAGAGTGCTCCCTGCACTTAGAAAGCAGACAATAAAAAACAAAAGCCATCATAGATCTCAACTTGTATATTAGGTTTTGGGTAGTTTTGCTTCTCTCTGGCAAGATAGTGGACAGAAAATAGGGTGTTTTGGCAAAATCTCTTTTATCTATAGTAGCAGATGAGTTCAGGCATACAAATGGCATTGTGAAAAGTACTTATGGGTTTGGTGCCTGAATATTTTTCAATGTCTTTAACCTGTTGCATTAATTTTATTTACTTCATTTGGTGATTACACCTTCTACAATCCTTAGAAGCTAAGGTTATGTGAGTAATGTTAGGTCATTGTCATAAGTCCCGATTGTACTTAACCAAAGAAATTAACCTTCTATCCACAGGACGCAGTTTATCTTTGTTACAGAAACTGTTCGTTGGTTTCTGTGTTGTGGGAGTACCTTACATCAGAGAGAGGAGTACTGAGATCAGAAGAATCACTGACAAAGTATCTGACTTCAATTTTGTGAGTGAATAACGTCATAAATAGTTGACATAGTTGAGATAACTATGTAGCTTTGAAAGTCTAGGAAAGTCAAATGGGGAGCTACATTAAACCTATTTGAAATTTCCCTGTGCAAAATCTTTAGACTTCATTTACTTATTAAAGCCCAAAAAAGGGACCAATTTAATTCATAGAGATGCTTGAAACTTTCTGCTTTTTTCCTATTCAATTTGGCAGTTGTGCGACAAAGAAACACTTGTGCACGCAATGAAAATGCTTGCATAATCTTCATCTCTTTTATGAAAATATGAATGTGACCAGTTGAAAACCCAGTGAGATTGGCAAGTCATAAGAGCATGAAGGAATTTGACAAACAGTAATTGCTTTTTATTGAAAACTATTAGAAGTTGTTAGAAGAGCATAATCTCTTTGGCTATAATTGTAAAATGTGGTTGATTGAACAATTGTTTGCTTATAGTATAAATTATTGTCAAAAAGACAACTGCAAGGACTGATCAAACAACGTGAATAGACTGTAGTTACGATATTTCGAGTGGCCAATACCAATCTTCATCAGGTTTATTGGGAAGATCACGAAATTACAGAAATATTTTTGCAGTGCTACAATGGGCGGAAGTGACGTAGTTGTTTTTCTACTTGAAAAATATAAGATAACAGAGAAAGAGAAACAAATTAAGATATGTTATATACTAAATATAGAGGCGAATTATAAATCATCATTATTAATTTAGACTGATCGTGTTCTGTGAGCAAGATTGATCGTACACGGTTTTTTGCAGTGGCTTTGTACCTTTAATTTTCATTCTAGTCTATCTATAGTTCACAAAACCTAATTTTGGTTACCATGAATCCCCTATTTAGCCCCCGTCGGGGGGCTTGTTTATTTTAAACACATTTGGCTTAATAGAGACGGGGGGCTTATTTAAGAGGGGGGTGGGAGCGGGTATTTAATTTAGACGATGGTATTAGTTCTCCGTAGAAATCCAAAATGCAAGTTGGAAGAGCTCAAGTACAGGATCAGTCCACACGAAGTTTTACAGTCAAGATTGATTAATACAGTCTTTTATAAGAAGGGGGGAGGGGGGCTTAAAAGAAAGGGGGGGCTTATCAACTTTCTTCCCTTGAAATAGGATGGGTGGGGGGGGCTTATTAGAGAGAGGAGGCTTATTTGAGGGGGGCGGGGGGGTTAATAGAGGATTTACAGTATGTTTGTTGTTCGTTCTTGCCCTTGCTTATTCCAGGCACTCTCCGCAAAATACAGCGTCTTAGTTTTTTAATTCAATTTCAAATTTGAAAAGATTAGATAAAAAAAAAACTATTTTATGTTTTCCTAAATCGTTGTTATGGGGTTCCAAGGTATACTCTAATTGATATATTGATATTAAAAGCTATTTCCTTTTGACATTATACTATTTAACTTACTGTAGTTCTACGTGCTTTAACTGTGGTTGTAATATACAGTCATGATTATCTTTCTGCTCTTTACTTTTGTTATAGATCTGGACATGCATTTATGCTGGAGAAAAGCTGCTTCATGTTTTGTCTGTCCTAAACTTTCTTGTATTTCTTCAAAGGGGAAAGTATCCTTTTCCTGATTATTTTAATTACACAATTGCCTTTAGTTTTTCATTTACTTTTAGTGAGAAGATTTGCTCAGTAGCTCTCAATTCTCACCTCAGGATTTCATAAACAGACTGAGAGGTTAGATTCACCTCATATGGCATAATTATTGGGAATTGGTTCGTGTTTAGCGTTCATATATCGAGTTTTGGATTCACGAGGGAAACGGATTGGAGAGCACGAAAGAAGCGAAACAGTTCCCGGCTATGCCTCGAGCAATTCTTATTAGGGAACTTAAGCAACTACGACGGCAAGCCGAGGGCAGCGAAAGCGTCACTTAGAACTAGAATTCGCGCTGTTTCAAACTTCATCGCTACAGTTCTACTTCGTTCAAGTTGTTAAATATGGGCGAATTTTTCCGAAGTTAATCCTAAATGACTTTATCCAAGGTCAGAAACAGGAAAAAGGAAATCGTTGTCTTGTGTTCACGTCCACCATAACACGTGAATTTAAGAAGTTTCAAGTCGTAGTCGTGCGAGGAGGGCAAAGAAATGTACAAAAAAGCGTGATGCACGTGCAAAGTTGTTTTTTTGCTTGAATCTTAACCTACTGCTTTTTTGCCGTTCTCGTTGCCGTCGCCGTCGCTGTCGTGGTTACTTAAAGCTCCCCATTGACCCAGTAAGACGGTCTCAATTGAAAGTAAAGCCCCCCCCCCGGATATTTTTTTAAACGGAGATTTTTTTTCTCCGTTCTAGCCTTCCGTTCTCGCGTAAACGGTGTTTTGGAGCACCTAAAACGCATTAAAAATGGTCCCCAGAGTGGAGATTTTTAAAAATGCCTGTTTCTCATTTATACGTGTGGACGGACGATAACGGAGAACAGCATGATGTCATACATCATATACCACTAGCATTACGCATGCTCTGTAAGGGATGCTATCGTATTTCCATCGTTTTAGCGTTCTTACGCGAACGGGCGAAAACGATTCAAATACGCTACGTGTGGACGCCCCCTTTTTTTGAACGAAGAAAAAAATCGCCGTTTTCAAAAATATCCGGATACGTGTTCACGGGGCCTAACTCTTCAATAACTTTCGGTATTGTCGTGTACGCTTTTACGCCGTTATACAATGAACGGCCTTTCTCGAATTGATCAGTAGTATGTATATTGAAGGCCACTAAAAAGGTCGTTCTAAATCAAATCACTCAGAAGTTTGATTCTTAATAACTGTTTGAGATATCCGTCAATACTTGAGCGTATTCTTGGCATTCATCCGGTGTTTGCCCAGCGGCAGTCTGTTAGACAAGTCAGTTTTGAATTTATGACGAGAGAGTTGCTATGGCATGGATTTGCGGTAAGTGTATTTTTACTGTTTATTTAAAGATGGTACCTTCAGCCCTTTTGATAGAAAAGGAGGTGGGTTAGGGTTGGGGTGGGGGTATTAACTAGTGTTTTGAGGAGGCCGTAGGCAGCTTGGCCGAGTAGCTAGCCTGAAGGACTGGTAATTCGGAGGCCCCCAATGTCAAGTCCCGCCCTGACCGCGAGCTGGATTTGTTCTCTGTAGTCCCGGGTTCAGGTCCTCGGAAACACTTGAAAAATAGCCTACTGGTTCTCCTCCTACCGGTTGGAATTCTTAACCCTATTATGTTCCATTTGATCATCATCCCTGAAAAGCCGCATAAGAGAAAAGGATTCTCGTTTTTATCTTTTCATCTTTTCTAGTAAAATCCGTTACCATTGTTATTTATTTACCTTTGAGCTGTACGTTCGCCTTTGCAACACGTATTCAATTGAAAAAATGACCCAGTGCTTCTTTCTTTGCCAGGAATTTGTGTTCTTTCTTCTTCCGCTTATCAACGTTCCAAAACTCAAGAACATGATAGTAAGGCAGTTCTCACGCCCTGTCTCTCTTGATAAGCAGCCGTCAATCAAAGTCGCCTGCCACGAGTGTGGAATCTGCAATGAGCCACCCACTTCACCGCACCAGGGTCAGTGCGGGCATGTTTTCTGCTACTACTGCATAAAGGTAAAGTACAATCTCCTTGTTCTTTGTTGTTTTGCTGTTGTTTCGCCGCCCCCCCCCCTCCCCGTGGGAGTACTCCCTTATATAAGCCATAGAGGTCTGTGCCGCCCCCAAGGGTAGTGGTCTTGCGGCGCTTTGGTCTGAAAACGGGTATAGACTTTTCCTATTTTGGTCTGAAATCGGGTATGGTTTTCGAGGGAACTACGGCAAGTATATGAACGTATTTACCATTTCAGTTCCAAATGACTAAGAAAGAAAGAAAAATATGCAAATTCGAAATGGATTTTAAGAAATCTTTTTTGTTACTGTTTTATTCTAAGTAATGGTGACAATATTTCTTAGAGGCCAGGTCTGAACATGGGTGTGAATGAGGACATTTTTTGGGTCTGGAATAGGGTCAGAAATTGGACAACGGGGCAGCACACCCCAACCAAAAATTCCCAGGAGTACCCCTCCGGTTTCGCAGTATATAAGGATATCCAATACAGTCTTGGATTCTGGATTCCACCGCGCGTGGGTTCCGGAAGTCAGGTACTGGATTCTGGATTCTTTCTCTGTGGAATTTGGATTCCTGGTATTCCGGATACCACAAGCAAAACTTTCTTGGATTCCGGAATCCGGATTACCTTAGATGGGGCGATTTCTTGCTTTCTCACCCAATCCTCATAACTGTTCCGAGAGCTTTCTTGCGGCCCGAAACTCTGCCAGTTTATGAAGAAAAAACCCCTAGGCCATGGTACGAGGAGGATATATACCGTCTGAATTAACTCCTCGAGAGGCACCTCCTGGGAATTAGAAGAAAACGTTGTTTATGGGGTAGCATGCAAACAATCTCTTCGCGGGCGTGAAATAATTGTGCGGCTGGCGCCGGTCAAGTTCTCTGGTCCAACTCGTTTTTCGCCGCACAAATAGGTGGTTTTCATGCAATCTCGGGAGACACAAATAACAATGGTGAAATGAACAAAGCAACCCTCTCACAACGCGCGCCACTCCCTCTCGCCCCTCCGCGTGTGATGTAGATATTGATGTAGATGTAAGTATATTTAGTAACCTCTTATTGTACATGAGCATTGTCTAAAATCAGAGAAGGTGATTTAAAATTTCATTTAGAAGCCTAAACTACTGGACAAAGTATCCAGTCAACAAGGCTATGACAAGACAAAGCCGACTTTTGAAAGAACAATGTCCGTTGACCGGCTGTTATTTCAAGCCCTGCTTCCATGGCAGATAAGTGCGCGCGCAAGGGAATGTTGCATTATCATTGCCTAGTCCCATTCTCCTTCGCGGAGGTTCCCGCTGGGTTTGCCGATGAAAATAGCAGAGGCCTCTGAGCTGCGGAGCAAAAAAGCCTAGTCCATGTCCTTGTACTGTGTCTTCTCAGGCCTTCATGGCCAATGCATTTTCGGTGACGTATCTGGAGCTCGGACCACATGACCCGAAACGCATTGGCCACGCGCAATAATGAGGTGTAGGGACCACATTAGACAAGTATTATCACAAAAGTTAAAACACTGTGTGCGCTTACTGATCACGGGGGTGGGGGTGGGGGAAGTGCTGAGGACAAAGGCATCGCGTTGCCTCACAACGTTTAAGTGGAAAAATGCTTGAGGTAAAATCCCCTTTTGTTCTAAAAATGATAAAAACAAGTCGCAACATCCTCTAATACCAGAGAGGCTTCCACATTTTTTTTGTTAATTAAACCACATTATTTCAGGCCAACAGTTTAGCGGACTCCTCCTTCCCCTGTCCGTTATGCGGAGTTGCGGTTGGTGACGATATCACCCCTGTTGAATGCACAGTCGCTTTGGAAGTCACGTGAACATTTCCGCAACAATCAGACCGATACGAAGATTAGTATCGATTCGATACCGACAACACGATTCGATACTTGGTATACAGTGTGTATCGTCTCCCGCCTTGGTACAGGCGAGCTGATAGCTGGAATAATCCAGGAGAAATTACGCGAAAGGGACGTGAACAGCGAGCCACGCACGCCGCTATTGTCTTAACTCGCCGCATGTGTCAACAAGGGCAAAAAGAAGGAGCTAGCACCGTCGCTTCTAGAATCAGATACTGGATCAATGAAAAAACCGACCTCTAAAGAACAGTATAGGGAAGGCACTTCTTTGGCTTCCCAGCTGCCTTCCTCGACGTCAGTATGAATTTGCATGTCACGAATAACCGTATTGTTAATGTTTCCCAAGGAAAGACGGGCATGAGTAGTTGTTTTAAGGAAATTAAATCAAAGAGAACATCAAATCTGCCTTCAACCACGTTTGAATGGGTGCCCGCAATGCACGGAGCGGAGCATTTGCCCTTTAAGTTATTGAAACATCGTCCGTGAGGGGAATGGGGTATTTAGAGAAAAGAGACCGACAGAATTTGCCTCAGAACTCCAATGCCGCAGGCAGCGGGGCATTTGCCCTTGCCGTTATTGAAACATCGACCATGAGGGGAACAGGGTACTTACAGAAAAGAGACCGATAGATACTTTATCAAAGAGAAAAATCGATCACTTGGCCTTGGGAAAATTTTGGCTTATTTGCATTTAACTACGTTTGTTTGAATTTGCCCCAGTGCTCAATGCTGCTTTCGGCGGAACATTCATTCCCCCACCTTTACCCGCAATGGGGTAGGAGGCACTTGCAGCAAATGCAGATTAATTCAAAAAGTGGTGAGTTTTGATGCGGGGTCTGGAAACGAAAATGAGTTGCTTTAAACACAACGCTTTGATTATTTTATTTAAATCTTCAACCAAACACTTTACAACTTTAGCAAATGTAGACGATCTATGATTAACCTCTCAATAAAACTAATTCAAACAATATTTAACTATAAAAATGTCATCAAATTGTATAATATCTTCTTATATTGGTATGTATATATTTTTCCTCAATAATTTAACTGTTCCTTTAAATTTCTTCGATTTAATGTATCTTGTATGAACTGTACAGATAAGCGCTCTTAAGTCTTCATAACAGTCGAAGGAAATTCTTTTAATTTGAACCACGTATACGTGTTAGTCCAGTGTGATCATCAATAGGAAATTTAGGAGAGCACTGGCGTTGCTTGGAAACAAAAACATGACGTGATATAACAAGTGACTGCTCAAGAGTAGCTGAATATGCTTTTAGCTTCGGAGGTTATCGTCTGTGGGAAACGAACCAAATCATAACCAAACGCAGAACGACGCCAGACATACTTGAATTTTTCCCAAGACGCATCTTAAACAATTTTTAAAAGTCAAGCAATTTGTTCTTGTCTCGTTTCCGTCTCTGAGAGCGACTTTAAAGAGTAGGCAAGGTTTGCCTCTCCCAGCTGGTTTCGTAAGTCGATAGGCCCCACCAAAGTCCACTCCTGGTTCAGCGCAATCCATCTCGCAAAGTAGCGTACAGTCTTTTTTAGCCAGCGATAGAAAAATGCTAGCCCCAGCAGCGCACCCGCTGACCCAAGCACGTAGAATATGATGCAGGGGTCTGATACGCATCGCTGGCTCCCGTCTTTGGTTAACGAAGCTATGTTCACTGTCATCGCAACAACGTAAGTTAAAAGCCATACAATAGGAATAGGTTTGTCCTCTGGGAGACGCCACTGAAAAAGAAACAAAAGCGAAAGACGGTTACAGAACGCGTAGACTTGCTCAAAATCCGTTTTGGTTGGGTTTATCACGATGTCGTCGCCCCCCCCCCCCCCCCCCCCCCCTCACCTAAAAGGTGACGTGTGGACAAGTCTATACCAGAGGCCCAAATAAACACTTAACTAAAACAAAGAATGATTCACTCCGAAACGTGCATTGCAAAGTCAGTGCTACGGAGGTTGAAACTCCATGCGTGCAGGCCTCTTTATGGTGAGCTGTTCCCATGCCTGAAGCTTCATACATTTCCTCAAGGGACCTAAATCACGGACAGTTTGTTCTCTCTTTGGTGTCCACACAGTGGGAATTGGAGTATGCTTAATGGTTAATTGATAATTATCAAGGGTTTAGGACTAACATCGCCTGCTCAACTGCTTTTAAGACACTAACTGATTTTAAGACATTCAGTACATGACTACCAGAAAAATTTTTCCTGTCTTGGATAAACGTATTTGATATAGCCCGGCGAAACTGCCACTTCGTTCCCAAAGATAGTATTACTGCATGATTTGAGAGAATTACATAAGCTGTAATGTATTCTCGTGGGAGCAAAAAAAGCGGCTTTTGCTGAAAGTAAAACACGAAAAACCCACAAAAACGTGTACTTGAGAACCAGAGGTTAATCGGTCAGTCACGCATAATGCGGTTACCGTTCAGAAAATCCGACATAATGAAGGCCCTTCAAAGGCTTGAAAGAAGGAACTAGCGGTACCCTTTGAGTAACCTCCAGCGCCTTTTCTGAAGTGAACATTTCGCTGAAAATTGGAAAATATGAGCTTTTTCCTTGTCGACTTCATTTCCGTCTTTAAAGTACGAAGACCTCATGGCGCAATTCTGCCTAATATTAGTGCCTGAAGGTCTGTGCAAATTATTTTAGCAAAACAGTTAAGTGAACGCTCTTTGATAGTCAAGCTGCTCATAAGAAGTCAGCTCAGCTTAAATCAATTTACGTAATAAACAACCTGACACCAACTTAATGCAAAATCCTAAACTTTCCACAGCTCTTTGCTTCCAGTAGACTTTAAACAAAACATAAAATTTATTATGACCTTAAACAAAAGCACACCTGTTGCGTTGAGCCTTTGTTTACCATGTTTAAAAACTTGCCTAATGTTGGTGTTAGCTCCGAAGACAATTTTTTTCAAAACAAAAATTAATCCTTTAGAGGGGGCTCAACTAACAAATTTAAGTACAAAGTACACGCCCAGTTCTCCCAGATCGTCATCTTAATCCACTTCATGAAAAATCCCGAGTAGATTAGGGTTTATTAGCTGGGAACACATTGGGATTTAGAGTTAATCCGCTGTTTATTAGGCTACAATTGCAGATCTCAAGCGCTCTAAAATTACAGTTTAAAATAAATAGTTCTTCACTTCCACGTGGTTCTTTTTCGCGAGAAAAAACTCTCAAGTTTAGGAAAGAAAAAGCACAAGAAAAATAACAATAAATAAATAAATAAAATAACGAAAAAAGATAATAATACCCGAACACCTATTTCTTATGCTTTTAAGCTATCAATTTAGTGAACTTCATCTCTACGTTGCCTGAAGTTAACCTGCGGGTAATACGTTACGTCGCTCGCATCACAGAAAGAGTGAGGTCCAATATTTTACAGCACACGTGAAGTACTTACCTTCAATAAAGGCTTCCTCCTTCGTTTCACCGCTAAGGGATAAAGACAAAGTTCACATTTGCTCATCACAGCTCTCTGCAGCCAGCTCATAAGGCAGGTATGATGAACAAACTTCACAGAGCCCGTGCACAAGCAAGGACTTATTAAACTCTCTACCTCGTCGCCACTATGACATATGCGGCACACATCGGTTTCTAAGTCTGAATTATCACCTTCTGAAACGTATATAATTGTCGTTCGGGTTGATATTGTGTCAGAGTTTTTGCTTATATCATCATTGTCTTCTGTAATATCCTCCACGTCTATGAAAACGCTCTCGGGTGTTTCGCTTGCCTTGTTTACAAGAGTGTCAGTGGTCGCTGTGAGGTCTTCGAGGTCTACTGACCCACAAAGCGTATCTGCACTTTCCTGTACAACACTTTCTCCATTTTCTACCCTCGACTGAATTTCCACCGCGCATTCGTCGCCAATGGGTCGCTCGTGGTTACCAGCCACTGCATCATTTGTGTTTAACGCTTCTCGATCTAACGAAGTGCCTTCATCGGCCTCCGCCTCCCCATCGTCAATAACAGCACAGTCTGCAACCGCTGTGACAAGCTCTCCAGTTTTACAACTTTCCTGTATTGTTTTTGTTTGTTCTGCACCGTTATTATCACCATCTCTAACGACAGCATTTTCACGCGGTAAATCTGAGTTACCGACATCGACGTCCGCCTCCATAACTGTTACTTCGCCCATTTTGTTACACTGAGAGCGCGCTTCCTCGCACATTTGTCTCTTTTCTCCCGGGAAAGGTTTATGTCCTGTAGGAAACGAACAAAACGAGAAAATTCTTAATACAGAAAAACGTTCATTTGTTAGGAACAAAATTCTTACCGAACTAAGACGAGCACGGACCGAAATGCTTCTGCAACGAGGACTGGTAGCGGGGTGAAATTGAAACAAAATTACTTACAAAGTACCAATCTTCAATAAAATCTGCCTGCTGACACATATAAGCAAGTTAAAACATGAACTAACAGGGCATATTTTCTGCTCTGTCATTAAAACGACACAATTATCATAATTTATAGCTTAACAGTTACAAATGACGATTGGTTGCCAGCCTCCCCAACATGTTCGCTCAAAGTAGTATATTGGAAACATAAAAGTGTGTAATATTATACGCAGAAGATCAATACTTATGATATTCATTTGAAAAACAGGAACTTCTAGGTGATTGCATACATTCAAATGTACAACCAACGATCCAAAACAAAGCGAGTTTATCAGAAAATTTAGACACGTCAAAAATATATTTTCCACTCTACTTCCGTTGCATAACATTCATGAAAACAAAACTTAAAACATACCTCTCTTTTTTGGTCTAAGGTTAAGACCAAGAAAAATTGTCTACAGTATCACACGGATAATAAAAACAAATGAACCAGCCAATGTCAAATTTGCTGATGTAAGTAACTGTCAAAATTGTTTCGCGCGTGTTATAAAAATGGCAGTTTCTCTGCCACGATCGATCATTGTGGAATAACAAGGATTGGTTCTTGGTACAGTATTAGATGGTGTGAATTACCAAAGCTCGTTAAAGACCATTAAAAGCGGAAAAATGTTTCGTCGTCATATAGAGCGGTCGCTCGCGAGAAAGAACATTCGGTCAAGGTTGACTGGCCTCAACTGGCCGAGTTGACGTCAACTGAGGTGACGCTCCGAAATCATTTGAAATTCCAAGTTTGCCGGTGAGCACCCGTATAGCACAGACTGTTTTGTTTTCCATTAGGCAACGAATCACTAGGTCAAATAAATACGCCTGCTGTGAGAAAATAGTAGTCAGAGTTATTACTTCGATAGGAAATGTCTTCTTGAATTTTATTTCTTTACTTGATCAGTATTTTACGTTGCGTCAACGAAATGTTAATCAGTGATTGAATTTTTTAAAATAGTTGGTTACAACGGGAAGAGACCACGACTTCGCAATAGCTTTCGCTTTCTAGGGTTATCCTATTCCGTCAAAAAATAATAATGATAAAATAAACCTATAAATGAAAAACCAAATTATAAAAGAAAAAAAAAATTGAAAATAGTAATAGATTAAAAAAGATAAGAAAAAAGCAACAACGAACTTTTGAAAAGTTTTTAACATTCGTAGTTTTCGACACATCATTGAGTTACCATACGTGGTTAAGAACAGAGTTTATAATTAGCTCCGCTCCGTGAGAAATTATATAAATGTCTTTCACTTTTCAAAACCTAGATATCAATAAAATAATATCCGTCATATAGATAGCCCCCTCTGTAAATTTTTTCGTCATACTTACGATTTCACCCTCCAGCCTTCGTTCGAAACTGGTAACTTAACAAGTTTAACAACGGCGAAATTCCACTGATGTCTTAAAGAATGCCCACGAAAAAAAAGTACATAATGCGCGACGATTTTTGTTCAGAAACGGAGTTAAGTGGTGAATATAGCTCAACATGCGTGCGCAAAGGCTATTATCATAACACCCGTTTGAGTTGTTTTATAACAGGTGTGATACAATTTGGCCACCAGCTTGTCTGTCTATTACAGTTAGATGGCGGGAAAATTCCCGCTTAACCGTTGGCACGATTTACAATCAGAAAGCTTACGATCGAAAGTAAGGGCAAACAATGTGTATAAGTAACACTTGACTTTTGAAGATATGGATGTTATTAAGATTTAAAGCTTTGCTTGCTAACTGCTACTAATACTACGAAATATAGAAGGCTTAGAGACAACAAAAGTGCAAATTTAATATTCAATTCTCAGAATTGCCGAACGAAAAGCGAACATGGCTAGGAAATAATTCTGTGGCGGTCTAAAACGTACAAGCTAGGATCGTTTTTTAATAGAAAAGAAGCAAAGCCTCCCTCTGCTTGAAGTATGCTGGACTGAACTCAAGAACTCAGTGAAGAATTACGGAGACATGAAATTTATTTGTTACTTTTGAGTCCATGAACGAGATCGTTGGGGATAACTATTCAAATGAAACCTCTTCAGCAGTTTTTCCACGTGGTCTCTTTGTCTGTTGTTATTGCCGCCCGAAATTATTTGGATTTCGTTTCATTATTTGTTTAAGTCAATGTGAGAATTTAGTCGTGGTGAATACAAGGCAGTACTGCAAACTGCAACAATCAGGTTTTTTGAAATGAAACTTCTCCGTGGAAAAAAAAAAAAGGAGGAGGAAAAGTAATTAATGACCACTCGCGAAACAGCGATTAGTCGTGGTGAATACAAGGCAGTACTGAAAACTGCAACAATCAGGTTTTTTGAAATGAAACTTCACCGTGGAAAAAAAAAAAAAAGGAGGAGGAAAAGTAATTAATGACCAATCGCGAAACAGCGTTATCTGCAGATCTTAGCTTTGTGTAGGTATTAAACGCCCCTTTATTAACTCAACAACCTCAGACATTATCTTAAATTATCACAAACCAAATAATAACTCAGGACTTACCGTACAATCTCTAATTTCCAGCTCTGTTCATCTGCAACCTTCTTTTCTCTAAGTTTCCTGCAAAACAACATAAGCTGGCTTAAAACGTGTGGTAAGTAAAACGCTACTTGACCGAATATAGGTCGACCGGCTGGAAATGTGTTCTTGAGAACTTTTCGCGCGTTCCCACGCACAATATTAAGAGCCTCTTTTGAGCGGAAAGTTGGTCACCTACGTTTCTGTGCCTTCACTCTCAGGCTAATCTTAATTGGCAATTTAGAACGGGTAGATAATTTGTGTATAAACTCATTATATCTGTATGCCAGTGGCGGGAAAATGAGCCGTGGGAAAACCACAGTCTACCACAGGCAGGAGGAGTTATTGATGGCTGGTACGCCAATTCATTTCACTCGTCACATACGCAGGATTCAAACTCCCCCCCTACCCCCAACAAGAAAATTAATAAAAATAACCACTTCGCTAATGAATGGATTCACAAGCAACGGACCTAAAACTGAATGATTAAAAGCAGATTGTTTACTTTGAATGCATCGCTGCTGAATGAAGAGGGTGACAAATGTAATTGTTAGATTCAGTTGTTACGAAACCAATTCTGGTAGCCACCAGTACTGTAAAGAACACGTTTCGCAAGGACTATGACAAAATACAATAAGAATTTCTCAAGGGAGACTCAACAGGTGTTTCTCAATCCTATAAGTCCCAAAAGTGACCAACATCAATTCTCTCCTAACAATATCAATAAATAATTAGAAGAAGAGTTTGTGGGAATAAATAAAATGATCACCTAAAAGAAAATGCTCAATGATCTTTGAACAAATTTTCTCAAAACTTCTGAGAGGAAATGTATGGAGATCAGTTTGGAGAATTTGCAGGCGGATATTAGGGCTTGGAGGGCCAAGTGCCATCCACTTGATAGTAAAAGAAAAGGGCACGGCTAAAAGAAACAGTCTACTATTCTCCAAACTTAAAACGTAACTTTTCGAAAACCAAAAGTGATTTATCATTAGCTAAGTTGATCCACACGACTCTGAAGACTTCTTCATCTTTACAAGTCGCTAATTTATGGTCCTTCAAGCTCAGTTGGATCGGGGAAACAATATCGCGATATCTGCGCGTTTGTGAGACTACTGAAGACATTACAAAGATCACACCCTTAATTACCATGTCACATAAAAACAGTTGAAAGTAAAACAGGATTGAAAAACTCGGCACCAAAATACAAGATCTAACGCTTTAGTGAAAAATGTAATAACAAGCAGTCAAGACTAAAGATAGCTGGACAAGTGCCCTGTTGTATATTTGCTTGAATTTACGGTCTTTTTCTGGCATCATTCTGATAAACATACTTCAGAACTAGTTTAACGGTTTATCCATTGTTTTTTTCCTTCAGTATTAGTTTGTTTTTACTTTAATCGGAATCTTCAGAATGTTATTTCACTCGCACTTATCTTGTAGTACGTTTAAAATATTAGTTTTCAATGTGTTTTTTATATTGCTTCCGAATTCTTGGAATGGAAGCTAATTTTATTAATTCTATTTCCAACTCCCTAAAGAGACTCGGTCATTGTAATTCGTTTGCTAAGTGGAATGAAAGAAATGAAAGAAACAGAGTCGACCAGTAGAAGACTTCCTGCTATTGCTATAGCCACGGCATGGCTCTTAGTCAAAAGCAAAAGGAGTCGCACACGTTGACAGAAAGGAGAGGCCGGTCTTCGACGCCATATTCACCATTTTCGTCAAAATCACCATTTTCGCCAAAATCGCCACTCTCAATGGGAACCCTTTGCTTTGCCATAACATATTCGCCAGACTTTGACAAATTTTCCCCATTTCCGCCATTGCGTGCATTTCTGCACATAAGTGGGCCGGTCACGACGTCTTGCAAAGTTTTGAAACTTGTTATTCGGCCCAAAACGGGCGAGTCAGGCTCAGATAAAGCCCAAGTGGGAGAGTGCTTTTTTTATTCCGAGTTAGGGCGCGAAAATCAGAAAGTGAAGTTAAGCATAGCCTTTGCTGTCATTATCTACAGAATGATCAGTATGGTACAATACTGGCAAAGAATTTTTAGGTTAGGAATTGCCAATATGAAACTCTCGAATGGGGTACACAACCGGCCAAAAATATAATTCATACCTCATAGAACACTCAACAAAGTTAACCAGGCACCTCTCTTAAACAGACCTCACCCGCCGTTCGTTAGTCATTTCCCATGACTCTGCAAGGCACAAACCCCTCATCATGGACACGTAGAGTTGGTCCCTCCAGCCTAGTTTCGGTAACTCTCCAAAGCGACACCTCGATTTGGTCAATGCCATTTTTCAGACGTTTTTTCTACACTCTGTGTAAGCCTGGTTCGGTATAGTTACGTGAACCAGGCTTAACGGGGACTTCTTTCTAAGGCGGACACTACAGTTGATCCCTGTCGTTTGTTTGTCATTCCGCTAGATTTTTTGTAAGGAGTGCAAGGGCACTTAAAGCCGGCCCCAACAGTTGCCTTCACACTTTTGAAATCGTAAAAATACGTTTAAGCAATGTTCACACTTGCACTAAGGCACGTTAACCCGAGAACGGAACTCACTGAGTAATAATGTAAACACGCATTCGTTTTTTCAAGTTAATTCGCACAAGACGCGAATGTAGGGATACAATTGACCCATATTGGCCCCAGGTCCTAGCTGTGTGCACACGTTTACTGTTACCCTCCTACCTTTACGTTTCAAAATGGTGTCCGAAAAAAGTTGAGTATATCGGATACCCAAGGTGTGCATGTGCATACACACAACACGATTTTGTGCCGGCACACCAGTGCCGCTCAGACACAGTGTGTGAACGTAGCTCTGGTCACTTTCGAAATTTCAGAGAAAATTATCGCCCCATGTAAGGGGATACGGATTCCGGAATCCGAGAAACACTTGCTTGATGAGGACTGCGGAATCCGGGACATTATTTTCTTGAGGAATCCAGAATACTGGGCTTTGGACTCCGGAATACAGCTTAAGGACCCCGGATTCCAATTATGATTGGAATCCGGAATCCAAGTTCCACCGACAAAGAATCCGGATTCCAGTACCTGCAATCCGGAATCCACGGTATGGAATCCAGAATCCAAGATTGTCTTGGATTCCCTTCTATGGGGCGAAAATTACCATGCACTTCATGCTAAAACAAGAAGCAAACAACTTGGACGCCCGCCAAACGACTCAGAAATGACATTTAGGGACTCTATTTTTTAGCCCTGCTCTATTTACCTTTTTTGAAACTTGCAGTAATTAAATGTGTTTGGCCTTTGAAGGGACAATCGCAAAGTTTACACAAGAAACAATAAAAACAAGCAAGGTAATTGTAACCACATGCAATGAATGTAAACTTATTTCAATTAACAACTAGTGATCAATCACTAGCTAATGGCTTCTTCTTAGTTGCTCAATGAACTTGAGAAAAACTTCCAGTTTTCTTTGTCCACTAATATTTTGTTGTTCTCCTCTACTGTTAAACTAAAGAATTGTGCGTTGAAGGTGATTTTTCCAACCTTGTTGATCATCAAGATACGTTTTACATCGACCTTCGGTAACAAATGCATTGTGTTTGTAAGGTAAACAAAACGTGATTTCGGTTAAGTGAATGACTTTCCACAAGAAGTTACGATATTCATAACACTCGAAGCGAGTTTTTCTGGAGCGCTGTCTCTTTCAATTTCTTCTTTTTGCGCGGGAAAAGGAAAAAATAGTCCTGTCACATTACGTTAAAACTAACTTAAACGTATTGAAATATCAATGAATCTCAAAGTATCTATCGACCTTGAGGATACTGAATACTAAGGCCACTCACAATGAACGGAACCGCTGTTGCAGGGCAGTTTTTAATATACCTTCCACCTTGATTTCTCCCCGCAACATATCCCACTCCGCAGACTCTCTTGGCTCTTACTTAACAGCCAAGCCAACCCAACCGCGACCTTTTTGAAAACTTTACTTTTTATTGAAATATTTCAAGAGTCTTCGAAATACTTTTCAACAGAAAACGCATCACTCCATTTACAGGATGACCTTTCGTGCGCAAACGAGACAATTTCATCCCGACGTCAACAAAAGACGCCACCCAACGTCTCTTCGATCGATGCTAACAAAGTTTAAGCCAGGTGTTTTTGCTTATGAAAAGTCTAGCTGTTATTCTAGTCAATTGGGAATTTTAAGTCGACTTAGGCCTTCCGCGGCGACAACTACCAGTATCAAAATGTGAATTCTCCTGTCTTGTGCCCTTCATTTCTTTTAGCGTGAGTTCGGAGAAGTTGACACTGTTAAAGAACTCTTTGTGGGTGATGGTTTCCTGAATTCTGATTAATTTTAATTAAAAGCGTTTACCGGAAATTTTTAATTAAAAGCGTTGATGTCATACGAGAAACTGATGGAGATCATTACTAAGGATTACGTTTAAAGTTAAATACGTTAAATACATGCATTGACTAGCAAAATAACTAAAGTAGAATACCAAACGAACTTCTTCGGACATTTAATTTAAGTCTAAATTTCTTTCACGAAGCACTTGTAGTTTGAGCAATACAAAGTCCCTTATAATCTCTCTTTTATACTTCACTCTTACGTTGAGTGAGCTGTTTGAAAGGTCAGTGCTACTCACGAGTTTTAACGCCACACTTTCAAAACACTGCCACTCGCGTAAATCGGCAGAGGGGATTATCGTGTCTGTAAGTAAAATAATTAAGGTTTTACCTATTATGAAGCTGTACGGTAGAGATTTTGCCGATCGTTTTTTCTTGGCCAGAAGAGCTGCCCAATTTTAGGCCTTGCTCGCATCCAAAACAAGTTTCCAACATGTTCCTTACACCTTAGAGATAGTAAAGGTGTTTGTTCATCTTTCCTCGTAACATTTACGCTACGCCAACATAAATATTATCTAAAGAATTCAGGAACAACAATCGATGGGCCGATCTCTTTTGAACTCTCAAGCCTTCCGTATATTGGCTAGATTTGCATTTGCTTTCAAAATACACACGCCCAGTATAAACTCAATAGGTCATGTCAGACTGTTCATTTTCTAATACAAAAGGGCAAGATAGCAACGACTATTTTTAGATCCAACAGACATGTCACCTGAAAACAAGATAACTTTCAAGTACAAGAACTAATTGTGTTTGCTTGAACCACTTGAAGGAATATAAGAAAGGCGAGAAAACTCTCTTTAAGCCTCATCAAGGGAAGTCTTAAAAATGTCTTTCTCACATTTAAAGGCTATTCGCATCAACGTACGTTTAACGATAGTCGACGACTAAAGGAACGTGGCAGATATAATCCCTTCACACGGAGGCAAATATTTTTGGACTATAAAAGAAATGAAAAAGAGAACTAATGCACAACAAACGACAACAAAATATACATTGCTTAGCAACTTGCATAGAGCAAGGTACGGTTGTTATCTGGAGCATGTAGATTCATTTAATCGCTGACCCAAAATATTAATTTTTCAATAAATTTGAAAAATGTGAATGTTTTAAGACTGTTGATTAACCCATTAACGAGCTTATCGAGCGAGACAATATTGAAACGTCATCGGTGTGGGGTTTAACTTGCGTGCAAGAAAAATCTACCCACTTGTACATCCTCTACAATATTTTCCAGACGATAAGAGTTTTCCCGGATAATTTTCTCACAGGAATTAAAACCTAAACTAGCCAGCAAAAGGTAACAAAAACGATAAACGAAAAAAGAAAACGAAATAAACGGAAGTGAAAAGTCAAGTTTGTAGAGCACTTTTAACCCAAAGAGTAAAGACTAGATCGAAAGTTTGTTTTCTGCGCAGGACAGTCAGAGGAACCTACATTTTGAAACAGAAGTTAAGAAATCATGCGACAGTTTTGACAGTCACAGTACACCCTCTCCAAGGTCACTAAGCCTTTTATTAAAGTAGCATGTGTACAGACACCGCCCCCGCTCTCCGATTTTTTTTTAGGGGAGGGAACGTCTGTACACAGGCTTATTAAAAGCATCTCATATGGGATAGTATTCAGCAATTGTGGTATAACAAGACTGTCCATTTATGTCAGGATATTCAGACTATGGTACATAAAGTACATCATACAGTCAATCTTCTATTCTTTCTAGCCGCCAGTTGTATATCAGAGTCCTGGGGACAAAATAAAGTTTCAAGGTCGAGCTCAGAACGCTGTCAGTGGAGCACCGTATTGTCCCCTGAATTGGCCGCTAAATAGATTCCACACACGGAGTTAGAATAGGCAGCATTTTTTTCTCTGACAGTCACAATGCATGGACTACACTATGGGCATTGCACTGTCCCGAGTTCTCTGGAACAGTATCCATATCATTTCGCGACAATATCGCATCGTCAATCAGACGGAGGTCTCCACATACTTAACGATTCCAAAGAAGCTGTTCAGGCTAATTTGGGAAAATGAAGGTAATTATGTAGGTGTTATGGAGTGAGAAACTGAATAAAGACCTACACGCTCTAGAGGTCACGAAAACCCCCATGTAAGGAAACCAAAAACAGTCTTGGATTCTGGATACCACGCCGTGGATTCCGGATTTAAGGTGCTGGATTCCAGATCTTTGACGGTGGAACTTGGATTCCGGATTCCTACAGCTGTACAGTCGACTCTCTTTTGACGGACACCTCTGTAAAACGGACACCTAGAGTTGGTCCTTGCCTTTCTATACATCTTTCTAAGACGGACACTTAGTGTAGCCTGTATTCCGGATTCTGGATTCCACAAGCAAAAATTTTTCGGATTCCGGAATCCCTTACATAGGATGACACGAGCACTGCACTGTGATCAAGACATGAGAAAACAAGTATGACGAAGTGTAATATCTCTACGCCCTTACCAGGTCAATTGGCGAGCAAAAAGCCAGCCAATTTATTTTAATAAAGACCTATACATTTCATCAAGCACTCTAGCAAAATTAAGTGATCGCTATTTGTCGTCGCCCAGTTGAAAGGCTGTAGTTGAAAGACAACATTATTGAAAATTAAGCACGCAATCTTGTTGATACTGTTAACATAAATAATTTCACTGTGATTTGCAACTCAAACTAAACGCTGGCTTCTAGTTATCTTGTCTACCACGTTAAATCTTGCCAAATGGTCTTTCTACTAGTAGGCATCTTAAAACTAACCATAACGAGGAAATTCAAAAAATCTTTGTTCATTGTTGACCTCCAATAACACTAAGGTCATGTTGTGTGTGATAGTTTTCTTTCTAAGAATGTTAGTAACCCTAAATAGAACGCCACCTTTGTTTGCATGCTAAAATCCGCTTGCCCTGCTTTAAACGTGAAAAATGTGAACTTGACCATGCTGTCAGAACAGGCCACAAAAATCTTTTTTTGTTCCAATAAAAGTAAAAAAATTATTTACACACAGAATACAACTGTCTTTTTAACAGTTTAAAATGGCGTGAATTCTGTTGGCGGTCATGATTGATGGTCATCGTCATTATCATCACTTTTTCATTTCATTTCATTTTATAGACTTTTTCCCCTGCTTCTTTCCTTTTTTTCTGGCCGGGGGTGGCGGGGGGGGATGATTAAAAATCTGCCTTCAGTATTTTCAATAATATGGAAATCATCTTGTTCGAAGAGTGAAGATGATGCAGATAATTTTTTTTTACGCTTTCGAACACCCTCCAGTGCCGGGGTTTGGGCAGCATTTTTGAGGCTCCCATCGCCTTTGCCTTAGGGGATTCCTGGAGATTCTTAGAGCCTTTTTCTTACCAACGACTACAATCAAGTCCTCTCTCGACGGACAACTCCCCAAAAAGGATACCCTGCAAGAACTGGTCTGCTGGTCCCCGCAGTTCTTAAGTTCCTTGATTCCCTGTGAAGCGGACACCTGTTTTAGACAGACGTTAAGTACAAGTGCCGGACAACAGTGCAGTGTCTCTGGCTGTTTATCTAACTTGCGTGACTGAAACGTACGCAGATCAAGCGTAGAAAATGCGAACTATCCGGAAATCGAGATTTGAACTTAATCCGACTTGAGATAAACTGAGTGGCTAAACAGATTATTATCAGGAAAAAGGTACATTTAACAATTTTACAAGGGCTTACGTCTAAGAAACTTGAACTTAAATATCTCTCCTAATTAAACTTTTGACCAGAAAAGAGTAGCTTCATTGTATAAAGCTGTGAATGAAATATTGCGAAGTTTTGCACCATTATCCGCCATGGTACTACATACATACAATTAAATTTCTTCCCTAAGCAAAAATTTCTCCTTTACGTTTATCTATGACCTTCTCTGCGGGCAGAAAGCAACAAGAGTCATTTTTATTATTCACGATCTGATCAAATTGGCATTATGGATATGGCACTGATTTCATATGACAGTGAAAGCATGAAGAAACAGCTGATAAACTTTTTGATTTCAGGGTAAATTTAGAGTGCATGTAGAGTACGTGTTTTAGTTATCTGAAAATGGCGCCCGTGAGTCTGCCAGTAACATCAGTTGTGATCCCACAAGAGATATCCTAAAGAAAACAATTAAAACTACGTTTTGTTGTTGTACAGTGCTAACTATGCATCGTTTTCGTGTCAACACGCAGCCTTTTTTCTCCTTTAAATAAAGAACATTATCTTCAGTCCATCGTTAAAGAAAGTCTTGGCAATTTTTTTGTACATACAACGCATTTGAAAAAGGCACACTCTCGCTATCTTGTCTATCATGACATCATATCTTTGAGACGTAAGTTGAAGCTTAAAAACAGCGAACGACGCGTAGCTAAGGGTGCCTTAAAATCTCGTTCTGAAAACAAAAACAGCTTTTAGCACCTTGAAATGAGCGGTTTATTTGCGCCACTATCAAAATTTTCAACATCCTGTATGGTCAGTTGCGGTCACGTAAACAGTGGAGCCCCATCTCAGAAGGACTCTTGCTCCAAGGAGTGTACATATACATTGCCCATGCAAACCTAGTGAACAATGCATACAATAAAAGTAATGTACTGAAATTAAAGATGTCAGAGAAACTTGATGAAAACTCTCCTACTCGACAATGGAACTAATACAACTGTATGCATGGGCGGAAACAAGAGCTCTGCAGGGTCAATGCAAAACGGAGGTGAAACTCCATGAATGTCACTCCCAAAAGAAAAAAAAGCTGCTCACGCATCTTGAAATGACGGTTCTAGTTGAGATAACTATCAAATTTACAAACTTCCTACACGGTCAGAAGTGGTCACGTAAACAAAGGAGCTCTCCTCAGAAGGACTCTTGCTCCAAAGAGCATACACTGAATGATTAAGTAGGAACACTACATAGAGTGGAGAAGACGTAAAAATGTTGTTAAACAAACTGTAATGAAAACTCTCCTAATCAACAAATACTACTGTAGGCAGGAGGGGAGGGGAGGGGAACGAACCCTGTAGGGTCAATGCAAAAGGGAGATGAAACTCCATGAATGTCACTCCCCCCCCTCCCCCCCAAAAAAGGACAGTTAAAGCATCCTGAAATGTAGTTGCCAGTTGAGTTTTTGGTCACGTAAACAAAGGAGCACTCTCCAGAAAGACTCTTGCTTTGATTAAGTCTGGTAAACACTACATAGAATGGAAATGATGTAAAAATTGAACACGTCAAAGAAACTGTAATGAAAACTCTCCTACTTGGCAGTAGAAATAATACTACTCTATGCAAGGGCGGAGACAAGAACTCTGTCACAGGGTCAATTCAGAAGGGAGGTGAACTCCATGAATGTCACTCCCAAATGTTCAAGATGGCAAAGAACCGGAGAAAATCGTACCGAAATTAATGAGCTATAGGTAAAATGTGGGAAACTGCCATTGATGCAGAAGAAGAATGAATATGGTTGGGGATGCATAAGAGATATGAAGGTTGCCGTGAATAACCCCGTACTGTCATACGGTGGAAGCCAATGCATAGGCAACATTGAACGGGTCCTTTGTGCAAGGACACAGGACCGCAAACTGTTGGACTGTCAGTTGAAGTGAAGTCTACTTAGTGAACAAACTGTTCAAAGAAATTCGACATAATGGTGAATTGACAGAGAATAATCTATTGTGTAATAAAATACTAAGTAAGTATTGTGGTATCATAAAATATACCCAGGTGAAAGACGAATTGAAACCCGCAATCAATCACGATCGCTTTGATGTATCATTTATTAACTGAATTAAAATTTCCCACTTGGATTTAAGTTAGAGTTTTTTATATTATCGACATTGACGAAAATCAACCACCTCTTTCTGTCTAACTTTGACTAGAACGGAAAGAACTAGTAATTTTTGAACAGAAGCTTATAAGGTGTTTACAGTAATAGGGCAGGACATGAAACAACAGGTAATTTAAGTACGAATTCACTACTTTAAAACTGGTTTTTTAAAAAAAAGTAATCGTCCAAATTAACACATGGTATTAAAAACCATGTGTCAATTTGGACGATTACTTTCTTTCAGTCTACACTACACTCCATACTAATGGACAAGTTACAGTTAAAAGATTGAAGAAAAAAACATAGTGAATGGCAGAATATACATTTAACCAGTTACACGAATATTCGAGTCTGGAGTGCACTGAGTCCAACTTTTAACAGGTTCTAACATGTAATAACTTCACATAATTGCTATACAATTAAGTACACTTAAGTACCTCCATTTCAACAAAGTTCACTGTGTTTGCAGCTAATGAAAAAGACGGAAATATTACAGGATTTATTTGGGGGGTAACAAACACAAAATTTGGAACCTCAACTTGTCAAGTTCAAGATTAAAGACGTCAACATTGCCATTAAAGACGAATTAGGGAGATTCAAAAATAGAGTCTAGAGAATAATTTTGATCAAATACCCCATCGATTCCGTGACATAAAATAGATTTTCGAAATTCAATGAATAACTTCATTCGTTTTTTTCGCTCGGGCATTCTGTAAAAGTGCGAATGAAAGCGATTACCGTATTATAAAAAAGACAGAAACACTCTTTGATACTTTCTGCAGCCATGTTTTGATAAAGAATGCCTTTGAATCTCCTTCGACTAAATATCGGTGTTTCGATTGTTATCCACATACTTTATAAAAAAAATCAGCATTTTCCAAACAAACTAAACAACTAACCAAAATGCAGTGTAATCGGATTTGTGGTGTTCAAACTGTACTAGTAAATTTTATGTTGTGATTTGTAACCAACACTGATAAGCCCCAATGGTATTCGTTGTTTTATAGTGCGTTAACGTAACTTTTGCGTTAATAGTCGGAAACATTTGTACCTGAATTATTACTTGCATTTTTATCAGCAGTTAATGTATAAACAGTGAAATGAAAAAGGTTAGGCACAAAAACAGTGAAATGGGCTTTCGTTGTCAATGCGGTGTGTGGTCTGAAACTTCAACAAAACTTTCGGGCCTCTCTCACTCAAATAGCGTCATTTTGCCCTCCCAAAATCAATAAAGAACTCATCAAATAGTCATGGCTTATCATTTACCTACATCGGAAGACGTTTTCTGCTGAATTTACAGGCAACAAGAGCTTGTCTCTTCCCATCCGACACGACAGCTCAAAAATGTTATGTCTTCCTGAAGGATAGACGGCTCCAGTATTTGCCGACAAACGTTCCTCTTGCTTCCGAAGAACAACACAGTTAGATCTTTTAAAAACAACGTTATTTTCTCACCTCAATAATTGCCCTTAAAAGTTTCCGCTGATCCGTTTAATTCCCATGGACGAAATAATACGTCCACGTACGTCCAAGAGTAAACGGTCGTGTTGAAATGCGATGTCTTCTCTCAGACCCGCGTGGTTCGATGTGATAAGGGACCCGCAACGTCAACTCGCCCCGACTTGTCCTTGAAACAATTAGCGGATTTGACGGACCGTCAACAAACGTGCTTCAGATCTGTTCTATTGTCCTTCAATTTGGCTCATTGTTTCATCGCGTAAGCCGCGTAGAAAATTTATTCAGCTTGAAGTCGCGGACATAGTAATTTGTTTCGTGTGAGACTCTAAGACATGCTCATAGTGTAAAAATGTTTGTGGAAGGGCTATTTAAAGCGAGCTTTCGCTTTAACTTTTAGGAATTCTGTCTATGTATGCAAATTCCTCAGCACGCGGTGAGCGACAGCTGTTTGGGTTGCTCCGGTCAAACAAAGGTACATCTGCTGTTGTTGAAATACTCTACTAATACCATTGTTTAGTCTCGGATACGAACTCTGCTTGCGTGAGTAATTGCTATTAAACAACAAATTACTTCTTCAGGTGATATCTATTGGGCGTTGACTTGCTGTATCTCAGATTTTTGGGTTAGAAGTTTTCAAATGCGACTGTCACGCAATCAATCGTGGCAGACTAGAAGTTGTGCTATTCAAAGATAAAATTAACGACGCATCCCGACTGTCTAAACATACGCGAAATAATGTAACAGCACGTGGATTCGGCCAATCACAGAAGCCTATCTTAATGGGAGCCACTTTGCAGTCGCATGCGAGATGACATCCATTGTTTGCAGAGCAGTTTTGGGAAAAGAGACGTTAACCACGGTTGAAGTCTTTTGAATCACGGAAACCTAACTGAAGAATAGAATTTGGGTTTATCGTGGGCAAAAAGCGTTGCTTTTCGAACGACCTCCTTAGAGTGAAGGGCCATCTGTTCAGCATATGTGAATGAACTTGAAGGTCTCTATTGAAAAAAAAAAATTAAACCCGCCCCGTCTTAGGTTCCCGATGCAGGTTAATTAACAAAACAGGTGGCCCCCAGAATCGAATATTCCAGTGTTCTAAAACTCAGACAGCTCATGCTGGTGAATCGTTTCTTTATCTTTCCTTGAAAAGTGCATGTCATGATTTATCGCTCGGAGGCTTCTCTGGCTTCCCTTGAATTTCGGGGGGGGGGGGGGGGGGGGGGGGGGGTTTTCCTGGGATTTTTTTGGGGGGGGGTGGGCCCCGGTTTCCCAAATCCCGCCCCTTTTTTAAAAAAAAAAGGGCTTTTTTTTTCCCCCTTTTTTCACCCGGCGGTGGGGAAAAATTTTTTTTACTTTCCATAGTTTAAAAAGACAAAAAAAGGGGAGAGGTATTCCTGGGAATTCTTTGTGGGGGCGTGATGCCCGGTTCTCCAAATCCTGACCCTATTTCAGACAAAAAATGGTCATTTTCTTCACCCGTTTTCAGACCTGGTGTAGGCAGAAATTATGTTATCATTACCTAGATTAGAAAGCCAAGAAAAAGATTTCGTAAAAGCCATTTCGAATCTGCCTATTACTCTTTCTTTCTTATTCATTTCGAATTGAAACGACAAATGTGGCCTTGCATTCCCGAATTCCCTCGATTCCGACCAAAATAAGTAAAGTCTATACCCGTTTTCGGACCAAAACGACGCAAACACCATACCCTTTGGGGCGACATTTACCTATAAGGCAATTGTAAGAGAGTACCCTCCCGGAGCTTCAATTCTTGCGTCAATCGTGACAGAATTCAGGAGCTCCATCTGATTGCGCCACTGGCCATCGTGCAGGAACACGTTCCTCCGTTGAAGCCAATTTTTGCGCAATCTTGCGCTACGCAACATTTTGTTTGATTTGTGAAAAAATTCTGTCAACAGGAAGTCATTTGCACTGTGGACGATTTTCTTTTCCTTTTTCACCTACGAAAATTTTCTCAACTTTGACCAAAAAACGTCGAGTAGCTTTTCAGGCGAGAAAATACCGGTAAAGGGGAGTATCGCTTTCGCTCAGAGGAAGTCTGACCCTATTAATCCCCACAGATGGAACAGAAAATCTCGGTCGTCACGGTAAAGCAGGAAATACCTTTTACCGAAATATTTCTACCTGGATGAACTGTTCACTGAGTTCTCACGGGAATTACTTGCGCGGTTTTTCCATAAGGTAAGCCCAGTCAAAGCCTCCGAAATTCGTGAAAGCTGTAATGTTTTCTATCAAATTTAAAACCAGAAGTAAGGTCAAGTAATTGTTGCTTTGCCACAAAGCGCCCATGAGGGCCGCATGGAAAACCCGAAAAAGCGCGATTAGATCAAGTCATAGGAACTATGTAAAAGTGCGAGTTACTTTATATAGCTGATTCAATGACCATAGACGTCAAAGACTCGTAAATTAATACAATAAGTTGTAATTTAATTGACCAGTGCCCTGAAAAGGGGAATATCACTGAAATGAAAGAGGAACTGGGATGATTGTCGTAATGCAGAGTTTGAAACCCTTAAGGGTATGTTAACTGTTACCTATTAGACTGGTATCGCTTAGGAATGTGAGGAAAAAGGAAAGATTAAGGGGGAAGAATTCAATTAGAAGGTCTTTATTATCGCAGTTAAAAACACTGATGAGCACTTATTTAGCTCAGTGTCGGCCTTTTGATCTATCAAAGCAAGTCTGAGACTAGCCCAAATTTGTCTCTTTTAAAGGTTTTAATCCCAATTTAATTTGACTCTGTCTAACAGAAAAAAAGCACAAATAAAGCATCATTTGTAAAGGGTGACACGGCCTATAACCTCCTCCACATTGGTTCATTCTCGCAATTATTTCAGTATTCACTTAAGATTTACTTCGATGCATGACAGTGTTTCATCTGTATACATCTGTGATATATCGTTTTGATGTTTACGGACGATTCTGGCAGGTTAGTCCCGTTACAAGATAATCAGCTTTGTAAACTCCCTTTTCAACAGCAGTTAATTAGTAAATATTAATAATAATATATGAATACGAAATAACAACTCCCCTCCCCTAAGTTCCACATTTGCTGAACTGATGAACAGTTGTCGGAAAAAGGGTCCGGTATCGAGACTCGTACCGCGCAATTCCTTAACTGGCCTTAAGATGAAACAGTACAATCGTTGAAAACCTAATACATTTGGAATTAGACTCACAGCCAATTGTTATGTTTCACCGCTAGTTGCAAATAAATAGGTCTAACTGTTCTAAAGCGGCCGGCAACATAGCTGCAAGAAAGGAAAAATCGATGCCCGAGCGATGCGTAACTGCGACATAGATGCAAATAAAAGTTCAGTCAAGAAAGACTTAACTTTTATATTGGTCGTAAAGGCGTGGAGTCTTGTCATTTGGCCCTTAAAGTCTGTTTTAGTGATTGGTGCAATCTTAAGTTGTTTGAGTCAGTTCGGGGACGGTAATGTAACTTTTGCAGGTGACAGTTGCTCTATAAATAATAATTGACAAACGGACTTTAATTCAATTTAGGTAATACTGATTTTAATCTCTTAGTAAAGGATGCTTTCAGTCCCTGATTTAGTTTTAGTTATGTGTCTAAGGAATGAAGCTCCTTGTGAAAATGGGGTTGCTAATTGGGAACCCTAAATAGCTTAAAATATTTAAAATTAAAAATCAGATTACCAAAAATTAAATCAGATTACTAACTAATTATAAATATTAAAAGATACAAATTTCAAAAGAGGCTCAATCTGAAAACTTACAACCTGGGTTTTTCTATTATATACTCAATACTAAAAATCCTTCAGAATTAAGAATCATTCAAATAACGTTTTACCACAAATCACTAGAAAATTGCACCCCAACAGCTTAACACAATAAACAGGTTCATGGGACTCCTAAGCATAACTAACCAGCTTCTTCATTTAAAGGTGCGGTCATAGAAACATGTAGTAATTAGTTACTAACTCACTTAGCACGTCACAATCTTTATTTTCCTGAGTATAACTAACCGTCGTCTTTAGTTAAGGGTGCGGTCATAGAAACGTGTTCAGTAGTAATAGTCCAGTTACGAATTAAAAATTACTGCTGAATACAAATATTAACGACACATTCATACACGGTTAGCCTAGACGTAACGTAAAATATTCAGAAATTCTTGTAAGTAAGTGTTTGAAATTTGAGTATACGCAATAGACAGAGTAATAAAAAGGTCTTTCTCTCGTTGGAATTTGTGAATATATTACTTCAGATTGAGGCTAAGGCTGTAAAAAATGCGTCTTCACTTCTTTAATTCAGCAGTCATAGCGAACTCGAAAATGGGCTATTAGTTACTAACACACTTAGCACGTCACAACCTTTTTGTTTTCTTCTTATAGGTATTAATTACTGAATTTCTAAAAATATAACTAAAGAGCACAGTACGCATTCCTCTTTCCATGGGTGGCAGCGCCATGGAATTGAAAATAGTATTGACTCTCGCCTTTTTATTTTCACCATTTTTTCATGCCTTAATTGAAAATTATCAAAATTCAGCAAGGAAGGTATAGATAACACAGCAAACATGTGAAAAAGGTGCCGGACGGTTAGAAAAATTGGAAGAAGTTTGAAACGGATTGGAATTGTGGTTTTTAAAAACTTGTTAGCCCAATAGTTTCCAGAATTGATTTCCATATGGTTATTAGTAGCGCTACTGCGAATGCATGTGGTAAATTGCGCTTTGTAAGTGACAACAAGAGCCGCTCCTGGTGACAATTATTTTTGCTATTATTTTTCTAATGTGGGATAATTCATCTTCTTTTGGTACCAACCACTATGGCATGTAAATACCTGTCCCACGTAACTTTTGTGGAAGTATTTCTCGATTTCCCCTTGTTGCAGACTTTTTTTCATACGCAATTCTTACCGATTATTGAAATTTCCCTATAAGGGCGGACCATTAGAAAAGTTATGGGGGGCGGGGAGGGGGGATGGGGAATTTTCGAGCCGCAGGAATTTTTTTTCGTCATCAAATTCCTTGAATGAAATTTTTTTTTTAGGCCATAGCATGAATATTTTTTAGGGTTATTTAGCGTACATGAATTTTTTCTTCATTTAATTTTCCCTTCCGCGAATATTTTTTTTGTACTTCAGGGGGTTGGGTTGGGCTGTGGTTTAGGGGGTGTGCCTGTCGCTGTTTTTTGCCTTTCCGGAGTTTTTTTTTTGTAACTCGACTCCACCCCCCCACCCCCCCGCCATAAGTTTTCTAATGCTCCGTCCCTAAGTGTGCCTTTGGCAGCCTTCCACTTCAACCACAGAAGCCTGTGATGAAAGATATTATTCATCGTGGTATGCGTATAAAGGCTTGCTTCGTTTATCGCTTCTCTCACGATAGAGGAATATATTTTAAAAAAGAAAGGAAAAGAAAGAAAAGAAAAGAAAAGAAGGAAGGACGAAAAAAAAAACCTAGAGTTTTTCCAACAGGAGTCGAACCCGATGACATTCAGAGGTAACCGACTGCAGTGACGACCTTCTTGCTATAAAGAGTTGGCTGGGCTGAACTGCATGTTAAATGACAAAACTGGACATCAAATTTTTGGAATTCAGTTGATGCGAAACAAATGAAAAGTTTTAGCTTTTTAAAAGGATAACAAATAGCATGACAAAGTCCGGCCCTTAGCAATAGAGAAAGAAACTAGAGACTTTCCAGAGGCTTTATTTCGGAAAACACCCATTAGCTGTAAGCATTCTTATCTTCGTGCCTTTCATCTAGGAGCACGGCCCTTCTATTATGGTCTTTGTTTCTGCTTTCAGTCGATGCAGTTCATCGAAAATAAATTCATCAATATTAATATTAAAGAGGAATTCAGAGCGTTCATACTTTCTAGTACATGTAGTAGGATTAATTTAATACGTAGGACCTGCGCACGTAATAAGGCTTCCAGTCCTCTTTAATCTCGGCGTTTAGCGTTTAAATACAAACATACTGCAAAAAATAATACGGATCATTCTTAATCTGAATGCCTTAAAATCCTTTTCAGAACCTTCAACCTGTAAAATCTTTTTAAACCCAATCCTTCCATTGTCGGACGATCAGTCTAGAAGTAATCATGAAGACATAAGATATGGTACAGCGAATCGGGAAAATTTTTGCAGATAGTTCTATGACTAAATAGGAACTCTAATCAACCGGTCATCGAAAAGTGTAGCTGAAAAGAAAAAGGTGCTAAAATACTAACAGTTTTGCTATCAAGCTGTCCTTAGAATTTTTACAGTTCTTAAGCTCGCTTTGACCGAGGCTTCCAAAAAAGCGATTTTCATTAAAAACTGGTGAACTGAAAATGTCGTGATACGCGCGCTGAAGCTATGAGAACCTTTGATAAGTATTTAGAATATTACTTACGCGTGCATGGCCCAGCTTCTTTCTAGTTATAATTTTGTCTCATTTTTGTTTCGAGTTTGCTCAGCATCTGACTTCACTGATCCTTTTTCTGAGGGGAAACTTGACGAAACTATGCATTTGAATTGTTGGCGCAGCCTAAGCTACGATGTTATAATCACTTTATGCCAAGCAGTTATGGACAAAAGCATTGAAGAGCATTCCACTCGGATTATCGACGGATTAGCGCGATTTATGAAGACAGCGGGATTTTCTGGCATGTCTAGGGCCGTCCTCTTTTCTGTTTGGTAGATCCGGGGGGAGGGGTGGTACTTCCTAGTAGTGGGATAATGGGCATGTGCCGCTAGATGGGGTCGCATTTTCACGACTGGATTGACTATTATGGCGGTTGCATTTTTATAAGAGTTACTAGAATGGGGTCGCACATTTTCAGGATTTTGGGGGTCTGAAAATTCAGGTATGTAGGGATTTAAAGCACATTAAGTTTAACAAATGTGTCACAGTCATTTCAGGATGACCAAGTAAAAGGCTAGATAAGGTAGATGCATAAACAGAAAGGGACTAAGTTGAGATTGCAAAAATTACTTTTTTCATAAAGTGGCTAAGATGGGGTCTATAATATGGCCACAGAAAAAGACTATTATGGGGTAGGGATTCTGAGAGGCCAGCGGCACATGGGGGGTTACTTGGCTTCATTTTTTCTGCCCCCCCCCCCCCCCCCCCGCGGTCCCGTTTATATTAATTTAAAGGGGGGGGTCCCCCCCACAAGGATTTTAAATTTTTTTTGCCGGCCTAGTTTTTTAATACTCTGTTTTTTTTGTATCATCTCCATTTTTTTTTTTTTTTTTTTTTTTTCTGGTTGTTTTTTCTTTTTTTGTTTATTTTTTTTTTTTATTTTTTTTTCACCCACCTTCCTCTNATGTAAAGGCAACCAATGGCCTTAATCAGACAGCGAAGAGTTAAAGTACCGCCTCTTGAACTCTTAATGAAAAATTACGCTACCTGCTTGTCTTCCAAGAGAGAGCCGCGTTACCATTAGCCTGCGTAGCAGGCGCTTGGAAGTAGTGGGCGAAAGAGAGAACGGGCCTGCGTGAGGGAGACACGCGAGGGGTGATTGAGCTCCCTCTCCCCTCGCGTGTCTCCTTCTCGCTGTGCGTGTGCCCACTACTTCCAAGCGCCTGCCACGCAGGCTACGTTACCATTAAATTAAAGTTAACTTAATTTTTTAACCTAGAGAAAGTTATCATTCATCTCTCCCCTTTGAAAGGTTCAAACTGAAATACACTGCCAGTCAAGTGAAGCCAACTTCTACTAGTGTGCCCCACCGGGCTCGTAGCGAACCCCTATCGGCCCGGGTCATATGTGGATTGATTTGTTGCTGGTTCTGGTTCCGATCCCCCAGGGGTGTTCACCGGGTACTTCGGTCTCGGTTCCCTCTCACTAAGATATAAGACCAACACTTGCAATCCACATTTCTATTCTGAAACGCAACGAACATTTGTTTGAACGGATACTTTCAAAGCGCCAGATGCTTTCTTGCGCAATCTGAAATGACTTCACTTTTTCCGTCGAAGGAAAAAGGACAATCAGGGCCTGGTTTTCTTTAGTTTACGCATCATGACTTGAGTAAAGGTTATTATACGGATTAGAGCTATGGACCACAAAATACCAAAATACCAAAAAAATATCTGTGATACGTACATTACGTCTTTTCCAGTGGCACCTCCTCAGCTGTGGAACGACATGCCTCTTGAAATTAGATCTTGCGTCTAATGACTAAGAAAAAAACGCAGACTTAATCTTTTTATGGGAACATTTATATCAAATTAGCGAATTAGTCCTTTCAAGTTTTAGTCAGTTTCACTTGAAGTCTGTCTAGAGCAAGATAATTTAATTATCAATTTTTATGTTTTGAAGCACTTATTGTAATACTTTTTAACATTTACTATAATACTTTAATTAACCATCAGTGAATTATTTCTTTTTAACATTTGTTGCGTAGCGCCATTGGGCTCTAAAGAAAATTGCGCTATATGAATAAATTATTATTATGATTTATTTCATATATCATTAACACCTATTATTATTATTATTATTATTATTATTATTATTATTATTATTACTATTATCTGCTGTGGCAGCCGGACTCAGTTTTGTTCAATGAAAAAGAAACTCACATTCAGAAAAGAAAAAAAAATTGGTCACGCGGTCTCTGGGGCCGCCATACGTGCATGTAGTTTACATCCAACCTCCCTCCCCCAGGGGGAAACTTAAGGAATTTTTAGGTGAGGATGTGCCGCTAAGACCCTGGAGCCCTTAGCATATACCAGACCTCGGTTCAGCGTAATTTTAATTTGTTACCCTATTCTAGAATAAAGTTCCCAAATCCCCTCCTACCCTACAGTCGTTATTTTCAATGATAGCCATCACCAAGTCGCTGTTAATTTTAAATTTGCCAATTTCATCTTTTCGAGTAGTGTCAATTCCCGGTTTCCCTCGCCTAAACCAAAATCTTGAAATAACTGATCAGTTTCCTATGCGCCATGCGAGTGATCCCAGACAAAACTCGGCTTGAAAAGCGTATGCTTCACGGTGGCAGCTGCACTTATATAGCCCATAATTATATGACAATATCCCGCGGGAAGTTTACGGATTTAAATTTTGTTTACATAGACACGATAAGGCAGGTGCTTATATATAAGCCTCAATTGAACTTCAAATGTTAATAGAAATGTTTGAAAGAACTTTCTGCAACTAGAGAGTTTTGGTACAATATATCTTATTTAGGGTTTTGAATAATGTAGTAGTTTATTTAACTTTTCTAGTTTCGTCTCAGTCTTTTAAAATGTAAACTTTCAAGTATATCCATGCATATTTAAAATCGGCCACTTTTGTTAGTTTCTCGAGTCCGTTGCTTTATTCACTAAACAAATATTGGCGTGGCTTTTTAACTGGTACTTTTGAAGCCAAGCTGATTCGACCGGTGTTGCATTGGTGACCCGAAAGTCTTCTTCTTCTTTTTGTTTTCCTTCGTCCGAAATCCACTTCACGGATCTTCAACTTTCTCTCTGAAAACGCCGACAGGATTGTTTTGATTTTCTCACTTCACCAGTAATACCGGTGGTGCAGTGACACGACATTTATCTCACGGTTTCAGGCTGGGTTGCAGGTATGTATGTAATACGGTTGTTATTAAACAGTCTTTATAATTTTTCACACGGTCACGGACACTGAATCAGTCTTGTTATACTTGGAGAACGTTGAATGGTATTTATCGCGGGCCTGTTTTGAGAAGTTTATTTCTTTAACGAGAGACAGCTGAGGTTAATGCCGGTTTAGAGGTGATTCGGTGACACTTACTTAACTCGGTCTCTTACCTTGTTTTAATCGGGAAGTGCCAAGGACCTTTCATATGCCAAACTTATGAAAATTTATATTGTGGGTAAAAAGGGCGCAAAATAACCCTTGCGTAGATTTTGGAAGTGCTGAAAATACGGTAAGAAGAATTATCCGAAACATTCACATGGTAAAAAATCCGAATGGGGAGTTGAACTGAGTCATTTCAGTATTAAAAGTTAGCACGCGCGCTGAAATGTCATTTGAACTTTTTGTCATTATTTTTTTTTCGCGCCAAACTCTCTCCTTTTTTTTTTTTGTACAAGATCAACTTATTTCGTAAGAAAGAAGCACTCGTGCCACAATAACAAAACTATTAATGACATCCTTGTAAACTAAAATTTACATTAGAACTTTTCCTGCTTGTACTTACAAATTTTTAATTATTACAAGTCGTAATTCATCCGCTTGCCAACCCAGGGGTTACCACACTTTTCAATGGCGCGTTTTCCTATTGGTTGCTAACACAAAAGCAGTTTAGGCATACTGCCCCTGAGGGCAAGTTTACAGATTCATTTCAATTCAAAGTGAATTCAGCGCGTCGACCGTAAACCATGAACTTATTTGAATTTTAACGGAATCCCGCGCGAGAAGCTGACTCTTTTTGCCGTCGGATGATTTAGAAACTTTTTACTCTAAGTTTGCAGACTTTTGCAGTGGTTTTCGCTATCTGGTTGACTGAAATAGGAACGTGTTGCTTAGTTTCGAGGAACTTGAGCGAGGTAAATATTTAAAATACATTTATCAGCTGTTAACAGTTGTGCTGAAATATTTCTTTGGTAATGTGTGTATTTGTAGCGTAAAATTGACCCTGCCTGACAAGGAGCATGTCAGACGACTCAATTTCGCCTGGAGCGTTTCAAAACGGACACCATAATGGCGAAGCCTTTTCCCCTGATCAAGAAATCGCAAAGTCACAAAGAGGACACGATAGAATAAAGGTAGGAAAATATTCAGCAGTCAATAAGGAAATTAAGTAGTTGAAAGTGCCCCCAGTGTAAGTTACAAACGTTAATGCCGCTATGAAATCGAATCAATACGAACACCACTCTATAATACGAACATTTCTTGGTCCCACTTTTACCAAATTTCATCCATTCTGAAAAGCCGACACCTGACTCTGTGCCTTTTGGTGCCTCATTGTTTGGGAAGTTTGAGTGCAATATGTTTAGACGATATGTGTGGTTGAACTCCACCTTCAACTAATCGCACAAGTATCACATCATTTTTGTTTGGTTAGGGCTATGATATATGAACTGCATGACAATAAGATGAATAACAGAGTTGATTCTGTTATTGTTCGAATCCTTCGTACTCCAGAGAAAATTACCCAAAGCCTTTTCCTTTACTTTTCTAGTTATCCTGAAGCTAATTTGTTCACTTATTAAAATGTTTGCTTAAATTCTCAGTCCTTGTTTACTCAATGAACTAACTTTTAGTCAAAAGTTCATATCAAATAAATGTCGGTGAAATGTTACTCTGTATCATATTTACGTCGTACCTCAAGTAGCAGCTTTAGCTTATAGTAACTTTTTTTTCGGTCAGGCCGGGATTATTAAGCTGTTCTTAAAATTCCAATTGAAATCCACGCGACATTCGTTTGATTTATCAGAAAAACGCTTTTTAGTTTGCGGGTGGGATCTCTTTATACTGTCTTTATTTCATTCTGTTGGCTCAACAAATTCAAACTTCATCAGCCTTTTAGTCTTTTAAGCCCTTGACGTGTACAACAAAGAATAACAAAAAACAGCCGGGAGATAATTAGCATATCGTGAACGGTCATGCATGCATAACGGTCTTTGCCCTCCAAATACGAGTTGTTGAACCTTGAAATAGGTTTTATAAAGGATTAGAAACAAGTTTTAGAGAAATACGTGACGCCATGTCAGATATACAAGGAACTTAGTTACATTATAAGGTGAGTGGTAAGGAATACGCGAGTCTTGTTAACTTTTCAGACGGATATTATGGCACTAATCATGACTAATTTACGATGCAAAAGTTTAGCCAAATCGGTGAATTAACGTCTGAGATCAAGCTTTCGAGTGCAGAAGCTCAAATACACCAATGCGAACGCTTAGGGCAAATTAAATCGCGTTAGACAAACAAGAAGTACAACTGACCGAGGGAAATCTAAAGAACTACATTGTAATTGCTTCAGATAGAACCCTTAATTTATACTATTCAGTATAATCGTCGTGTGCTTGAAATCGCTGTAAGATCAGTAGTACTACACTGAACGAGAGCCCCATAAGAACTGTTTTAAGAGCACTCAGAGCGCCAAATGGGTCTGCATATCTTCTTATGTCAAACAAATGAAGCACTTTTTGGATCTCGTCCATTCGAACTCAAACTTGAGCAATCAAGGCCTGTACTGGCAGCTTTTAGGCATCGCTAATGCCTTGGTTGTGTGACAGAGTTGTGATCTTATTTTATAAAAACTCCTCTGCTCTTGCGCAGTAGCGGGTGTTGCAGCAGGGCTGTATGGTATGCGTGATCGAGGGTAACGCAAACGCTTGACCCTGAAGGACCTCTACCCAAATATTGGTCGAGTACCTACCCCACCCGGCCCCGAGCTGCCATAAAATCGCGCAAAAGAGTTATGTCAGTTGAATGTGCGAGCGTTTTACATGCTCTGTTTATCGTTACAGTTAAACGTTTGACTGCTTACAGTCCGCCTTTTCTCTTAAAAATCCGTCTAGTTCTTATCTCAGCCAGCGCGATTGCAAACCACGACGTTGATTGGGACGAGACGAGAAACGACGGACTGCGGACCCTTTTGTAGGCCTTACGCCCTCGTTTATCGCGTCTCATGGCTTCGCCGCTCGCGTACTTGGAACTTTCGCGTGCAGTAACTTTGCAAAGAAAAATAAGAGACTGCTCGCAGTCTGCGTCACAGTCTACTTCCTTGAGAGGTCGCGCGAGGGGATCAGTAGCAAATAAGGTATGACGCTCACGTGGGACCATGCTAGTAGGTGAAATATAAATGCGGTTTATATTTACAGAATTCCGTTTTATTGCCTACAGGACTATTCAAGACGGCTAAGTGGAGAGGGCATGAGGTAAAAACATTTTTGTTTTTTCTTATTACAAATATGCAGATCTCGGCTTCAGCTAACTCGTCTGAAAATTACGCCTATTCTAAAGGCTAACTCGCCAGATTCCCGGGGCAGACTTCTATATGAAAGCGACCAGGATACTTTTCGTCGTCTCGCTTAGGGGTAGAAATTACAGATTTTCCGAGCTCCTCCTTGGACATCTTTTGAATACGTCTTTGGCAAAGTAACTTAGCAACGCCTGCAGATCCATGTGTGCGCAAACAACTGACTACCTCTCTTCTCCTTAGAGGCCTGTATGTAACGTAGGGAGGCTGCCCCCGCTCTGATTTTTTTACTTTCAAAGTGTTATTGGAATCGTAACGGAAACCTCTGTGGAGGAGAGAGACTGAGCACGAATCGACGTTCTTTCGACCCACTAGTAAATTTTCAGCCATGCTTCTTGCCTCTAGCTTGTAAATGCACGTCTTGGACAAACAAGAATTCTGCGTGATATTTTTCGATATTTTTGAGACTTACCTGGCGTGAACAGTGCGAGGATGGAAAGCAGGAATCTGTCTAACTCCATAAAACAGCTTTCGGCTTGGATGTGTCAGTATCTTTGCCATAGTATCGTTTTGTGAGACTGTATAAGACTTAAGCCCTGTTCAAAACATCTTGGGAAACTTTACGAAATTAGGCGCAAAGACGTTCTTGAGTAAATTTACTCGTATTCTGACTATGGTGCATAACGTCAACACCGCACGAGGGTAGGGGGGGGGGGTTGAGGGGAGGGGGTGGAGAAAATGCTTTATTTTGATGAGCTTTTGCTTTAGGGTCTCAAGAGTTTTGATAAGACTTGTGGCATATCATCTAGGAAGAAGTGGTATGACTCTTAGGGTTAGATGGTGATAGGCAAATACACACTACAAATCGCCTAACCGGACGTTTTTAAATTGGGTTTTCAGCTCCCCAACTCAGTACCTGAATGGAAACTCTACTAAGGAGCAGTTATTAGAAGCAATAAAAAACCGCGACAATGCGGAACGAGAAATCAAAGCTCTCAAAATGCAACTCACCATGGCAGAGGAGACTCGCGACAATGTTCGAAGAGACCTTATGGATGCACACAAAAAAGTGCGAGAAAGCGATGAAGCAACAGAAATACAAAGAAAAGAAAACCTAGCACTCAGACGTCAGATAAAAGACGAGCAAATTGAGAAAGGCGCTCTGCAAAAAACTTGCGACGAACTCAAGGAAAAGGTCAAAATCGCTGAGGTAGAGAGAACTGAGACAAAGCGCAAACTCGAGGAACTTGAAAACAGATTCCGAGTTTGTGATGACAGCCGAGCGAACATCACCGGTGAGGCGAACGATCTTCGGATACGACTAAACGAGTTCGAGGCAGAGCGAGCGGAGATTCGGCGTGAACATCAAGAGGCACTCCGTCAGGTGAAAATATTGAGCAGCGAGTGTTTGCTTGGAAAGCGCGAAGTATCGGATCTTCAAGAGAGGTTAGCGCATGAACAGGCATTACGCGAGGAAGTTCGTCACGAAGCGTACACTCTGAAGCAGGGGATATTACATTCTGAAAGTGAAAAGGAGGAAGTAAAACAGAACAATTTCAAATTACAAAGAAGGTAAGCCTTTTCTAAGTGACCTGAACAGAAGCTATTCAAACTAATGGGAAAGTAATTAACGCCAAATTCCTTTTTCATGGAAGTTGTTGTGCGTTTCCTTCCTAAGACTGCACGAAGCAAGAGAAGACCTTGCGCGCCTCCTTTAAATAGACCTCAGTAGCCATGGTAACTGGTACATAAGTTGGCTATTGTGCTATTACAAGGATGCTAATGCGTCAAACTTTAAAGCATTCCTGGTTAAGTTTTGGTATGCTAATAATGAAGGATTTAGTACCCTCACTTTTGCATACATGAGTTACTTATCCCTCTAAAACTACTAAAACTAGCATTAACATTATAGCTCATTATGTCGCCAGTGTGAAAGCGCGGTAGTCTAATACTGATGAGCTGCGTGCAAATGTCAGTAATTTAAACATTGCGCGCTGCTGAATGGAGACAATATACAACCCTGTAGCTTAAGCGTTTGAGGGGAAGATAGGCGCATGTTTTTTTGTTCTTTCTTTCCAGCATGTATCGCGCATTTTACAGTATACTATGGCCAAAAACAGGCCTATACGGAAGAGAGATACTAAGAATGGTGTCCCTTTTTCTTTGGTCATATAAATTTGCTTTTTACTCTCTATATTTCTCTAAACTTAATCAAAAAAGGTTCTGCGTTCGTGTGTTGAGCGTTAAGACAAGTCTTGTCAATGTTACCCTTGCTAATTAACAAGGGTTCTCGTGCTTAACGGTCAAGCAAGGAAAGGCAGCACCTTTTATCCTCGGTTGCATTGTCCGTTTACTTATTTTGCAAATGTAATGAACCTCACTATGTTCACGTTGATTTCTGTTCCCAAAGGTTGAAAGAAGCTGAAGATACCTTTGCAAGCAGGGAGAAGGACTATCAAGCGCAATTGGACGAGTACAAAGAATTTGAACAAAAAGCGAAAGACAAGATAAGAGATATGGAAAACAGGCTAGAGCAAACGACGTTCGATCGAGAAAACTACAAGGCTCAGCTGTCTGGAAATGACGGCAGGATAAGTGCTTTGGAATCTCAACTCGCACGAGTAGAAGCCATGAAGAATGATACTGAATTCAAGCTGTCGAGCCTCTACTCAATACTACGGAGATCACTTGGCCTGCGATCGGGTTCCCAATCTTCGTTTTCAGAAGAAGACAGTCCGAAGAAGAACCGAAGGTCTTTCCGGGGACGTTCTAGATCAAATTCAGGTACAGGTACCTCTATTTTTTGTAGTCTTTCATCTATGAAATTTTAAATGTTGTATCCCACAATATTCACTTGATCTTTTGTCGCAAAGAGCATATTGATTAAAATAACAAAAGAAATAACAACAACAAATCGGGCATTGAATGGGCGCCATTTTGTCGTTCATGAGTTTCTGAACGCCATTCTTTTTTTGCCTTTTACGCAGACGACTCTTCCGACGACATAGACCCTGACGCTGTGAAAACCTCATTATCTGAGCTTTTGCAGAACCTGAAAGAATCCGAAAGAAAGAAAGAGGAGAGCCAAGCGAAAGTGGAGAATCTACAGAGTACATTGCGACATGCTGAAGAAGAGAGAGTGGAGCTGGACGGTAAACTCCGTACCGTACATCAGGAAATGAATCAACTAAGAGATCAGAAAAGATTGTTAGAAGAGAGATTAAACAGCTCGGAGACGGCTTTGACTTTACAGGTATGGAATTAAACTTTTTTGTAGGTCAGACTGCTGTTTCAGTGAGCTAAATGTTCTTGTTATATCAGCCGTGACTTGTTAATAAAGGTACGTTATTTGCGCCCAAAACTGCAAAGCTGACGAAGAAGACTGTTTCATTTTCATGTGGCTGATTAACGCGTCGTATGGTAGATTTTAAGTTTGTTGAGTGAAATCTATGAAGTTTATCAGAGTATAGATCTTAATTTTCCTCAAGAAAAAAAGGAATAGACCCTTGCATTTCTGACTGCTCAATAGTAACATGGCCTGTAAAAGTCTTAAACTACATTTTCTCTGCCACTTTTTAAAGTAAAATGTAGGACCAACATTTTGGTAAGCACATATTTTTGGCTGTTTGCATAGGAAGAGGCAATTCAAAGGGTAGAAAGAGAAAGAAATGGTTTGACTGAAAAGTTACAAATGTTAGAGGGGACCTTGAGTCTATCAGAAAGTGAAAGAAAGCAGCAAAAAGATAAGATCAGGGGGCTTCAGGAGACAGAGAGACGGCTGAAAGAAGATAAGCACGCTTTGCGGACCCAACTAGAGGCAACATCCGGGGACATGACGAAGAATGAATTGAGGCTAAAGGCAATTGATGGTGAATTACAAAGGCAGAAGCTTGTTCAAAGTGAGGCGGAAGCGGAAAATAACACGCTGAAAGAAAGGTTGAGTGGACTTTTGAGGACGAATCAGGAGCTGGAGAACAATAATTCCAGTTTGAAACTTGCTATACAGAAACTAAACAGCGCTGTTGCGAAAGGCGAAGAAGAGGAAGCACGATTGAAGGAAAAGATCCAGGCACTCTCAGTTTCTCTCAGCGAGAGCAACAGCAGCTCACAGAATCTGCAAGATCATATTCATCAGCTTCAGCGAACACTAGAAAGCACTGAGGGAGATAAGCGTCTGCAACAAGAACGGGTCGCAGCTCTTCGAGAGACAATGAAAGATTGCAAGAATGAAAACCGCGCTTTAGCAGAAAAAGTAGAATTTTTGGAAAGGACTCGTGAAGATGCCGAGCTAAAGATAAATGACTTTGAAAATCAGGTAAAGCATGTGAAGGTTCTTTTAAATCAGCGGCAAGAGCGCGAGGATGAACTTCTGGGAAAACTGGAAGAGCTGGAAGAAGAAGCAAACTCTCTGAGAAGCCAAAATTCTTCCTTGTCTAAGGTGAACTCCTCTTTCGAGGCAGAGAAAAGAGATTGGGAGAAGAACAATTTACGGATTGGCAAGGACGTTCAGGCGCTTAAAAAGACCCTGGATAAACTTCAAAGGGAGCGATTAGAATTCGAGGAGTCATTCTTTGAGTCAAATCAAGAAAAGGAGGCTTTGAACAGAACTCTTGGAGAAGCGGCAAAGGAAAATATCGAATTGAAAGAAAAGGTGGATTCACTAGAAAGAGCGCTTCAGGAAACAGCAGTTAAGCATACTGAGAGGTACTAAGTTGTTTGAAATTATTAGCTCTATCTCACTGCTTACTAAACACCTTTAGTTTTTCGCACATTCACTCTCTTACTAATACTTGCGCCCTCAACCACTTTGCCTCAGTTGTTCAGTTACATTTCGGTACTAAGTTGCACAGCCAGTTAGTTGCTTAGGGTTCGTTCGATTGACCGTATTCTGGAATATAAATACGCAAAAGTGTTGCTACCGATTTTTGGACCTCTTAATTACTGCATTGATTGGAAAAATGATTTCAAGCATGTTTATAGGTATTGAAATACAATGACTGCCGAAACAAACTATTTCTAGAGTTAATTCCTTTTATTCTTATCAGAATTCCGGAATAGCTAGGTCAATCGAACAGGCCCGTAGTTAGGTAGGTACAATGAAACCTCCATATTCAACCCAGCCCCTATCGTAATCGTCCGCGACCAATTTTTTGGATAGATATTTTTTTGGAATTTAATAGCTTTTATAAATTTTTTCACTCTTAGATAGCGAATGCAATTAAAAAACACTGCAAAAGTAAAGAAATTAATTACAAAACATTACAAAACAATATCCATGCAAACCAATTTCGTTGTACGCTATTTAGATTACAACCACAAAAAAAATACAAATTAACATAGAAACATTCACAATGCTATCAACAAGAGAAAAGGAGAGAAAAAAAACCAACAATGGTCGAGACATTAGTGTTACATTCATAAATTATAAACTGACATAAAGTGAGAAGCATATGCGGAACAACCCTTCTACGAGCTTACAAATGGCAAAAATTTCTTCCATTTTTTAAATTGGATAGATGAGAGCCTTGGAATTTTCCATTGTTTTTATCCTGCCTTATATGACCACTTAAGGCAGGGTTTGATCTCTATGCTCGTTGTATTTACTATACTACAACAATGCAATGCATTTAGAGTGACAACACATATGGCAACTTTGCACGCAGTAAATCCTCTTCTAAATCAGGGGCACCCAACGAGAACATAGTTCAAAACCACTTAAACATGGCATTGTTAAACGTATTTTAATATTTAAAAGGTAGATATAGGCATATTTTTATCCCCTAAAAATTTTTAATCTGTTCGGATTTCCTAGCTGAAAGTCTAGTGATCCGAAAATTATAGGGATCAAAACTTACCTTTTCGAAAATTTCAGCCAGATAAAAGGCTCCCGAAAATTGTAGGTGACCTTTTTAGGGTAAAATCCGTTAAAAGTGGGCAATTATACCATTTTTAAGATGTTCGAAAATCCTAGGAGAGGCAGGCAAGTTCTAGATCTCAAATCGTCTTCCGAACCGATATTTTCCGAATATTGAAGTTGGGTGCCCCTGCTAAATCGTATAGATATGCTCGGTCCTCTTCTAGGAAGAGACCCTTGAGCAGCGACCATCTTCCGTAAAAGTGACCACTAAATCTTCGTGAATTTTGAATTGTCGCTTTTGAGAGGTTTGACTGTATTTAGTTGGTCTGTCGGTCGGTCGATCAGTTAGGCATTCGATTCAGTCATTTATTCGTTTTGCAGGTCGAATGGACAGTTAGCTAGACTGTCACCTCAGTTAGTCGGTCGATTTGTCAGTTGGTCTGTCAATTGGCTAGTCGGTTGGCTGATAGATCGTTCATCCATCTACCGTTCAGAAACGAATGGGACAATTGATGAACGCCGTTCGTCAATTGTCCCATTCGTTTCTGAATCACCTTTCTTTTTAATCACCAGCCGATTAGTGGTGCACAGTATCTGGCATTGAGCAAGATGTTAATACAGTGGAACCTCAATATAACCAACCTCTACACAACGAAGTCCCTGGTCACGAACAATATTCTTCGCCCCAGAAATATTACATTATGAAAAAGAACCTCTCCATAACGATTTAGGTTTCTGGGAAACTGCCACCTACCCCTTCCCTAAGTCAACGTTAACAGTTACTTTTCACTTAGGGAAAAATGTTGGGTTAGGGGAGGGCTCGGTGGGCAGTTTCCCAGAAAGCTAAATTGATCTACTTTATGGCGAACAAATTTTGTCAGTCCCTTAGGCCTTCGTTATATCGAGGTTCCACTGTATCCTTATCCTTATGTTTCTGAGAAATGATACACAATGCTTTATCCTGAAGTTTGATTCAATCTAATATTCACAAATGCTCACATGCAATTATTTTCCCTTTAAAGTTTGCTTGAGATAACTGAAAAACAGCAACAGGAAATTGAAAAAGAGGCAAAGAGATCTCACGTGGCATTGGAAAAAGCACAAAAATTGACAGAAAAAAGAGAGAAAGCCTACAAAGCAAAACTGGAATCTTTAGAAAAACAGGTAATGTTTTGAATGACTACCATGTCTTCACCCCCTTTCCCGGAGGTACGTTAAATTTTGCATGAGTGGTTTTTCATCCCTCTTCATACTAAATAATCCCCGAGCCTAGGAGCATACGAGCAATATGCACCCACCCGACCGTGCAAGGGGCAAAGGGTGATAGAAACGAAGTGGGGGTGGTTTCCTTGCACCCACCCATAACACTATTATATCCTCTTTTTACACACCTAAACGGTTAAAGATTAAAGTACCCCTTCAATTCTGTATGGCCAACTGTACCTATTGCTTCATTCATTAGCAATCCTTCAGAGGTCAGAATTTGGTGAAAATGCTTCAGCGATACAAAATGACGGAATGTTGGTGCTGTTGGACTGGTCTATATATAGGATTCTAGATTTTGTCAAAACTATGACAACCAAAAATTATGGTGTACCGGCGATCGATTTAAACATACCATGATTATTATTGGCTCACAAAGGAGCTCTCTCTGTGTATGTGGTGATCATTTTTTTGTATGTTTATTTTCTAGCTTTCTGTTCTCAAGAGAGAGCTGCAATTTGAACGAGAGGAGAAGGTAGCACATGCCAACAAGGCTGCAGTAAAGAACGATGAAATAAGAGAAGTTCGGCAATCACTTGGTAAATCACTTCAAGCGGTCGAAGAGGATGCGAACAATCTCCGAAGTATGCTCGGAAAATCACTTCGGAAAATCGATCGATACACCGAAGCTATCCGACGAAATGAAGTTCCGCCTCCATCAACTGACACGGACGGATCGACAGTTAGTGCGTTTTCTCGTCAAGCGTTCGATAAATCGGGCGAAGAGGCAAAATATCTTCGCTCATCGAAACGACGTACGCGGTCCACTTCGCATATGAACTTGAAAGATCGTGACAAAACTTTTGGAATGTCACCTTCAGCCCACGAACCGCTGGGTGATTTCATCGTTAATAACTCGAGAGGAGATCGGGAAGATTCCACACCAGAAATAACAGCTCAAATCCAATCCCCTCTCAGAAGGTACAGAAGGTCGCGGAAATCTGAAAATTGAGCACAGTGTTATTTGTTTTGCGTTCAAATGAAAATTGTAATCATTGTATATTGCATAACGTAAAAACTGTTGATTAGAATTAACCCTTCTTATTCCAAAGAACTAAAAGCGGTGCAATATTTATTCCAACCTCGTTCCCAAAGTTCTTTCTCTTCCCTCGAGAGAGAACCCTGGTAGCAGCTGCTCATTTGACTACCTGTGAAAATGAAAAGCAAAAGCAACAATTTTATACTCTACTACCCCTCCCTTGAGGAAAGTCCTTGTTGGCTCCCAGATTTTGGGGGCTTGGTGACCAGCCGAAGCCAGGGTTCCTTCTCGAAGGAGGAGGAGGAGAGAGAACAGTGGGAACGAGGTTGTATTTATTTTATGTCAATATGAGGTCACCAAAGGTAGAGCATAAGTCATGACGTTGTATTTAATAAATGAATTAGATTAAAACAAGTGTGTTTAGAATTGTCAGAAAAGAGTAATCAAATGAATACCAACAAATACTGATAAAACGATATATAATTCAAAATAATACTGACAAAAAGCGAAATAAAGTTAACTTATCCCTACTAATTTTAGCGAGTATCAAATTCCGCGGTTTTCTTTCTTTCTCTCTCTCTCTCTTTTGTTTTTGTTTTATATTTCAACGAATTTAATCACCACAATCACCAAATAACAGTTTAACACAAAGCAAATTCCAGTCAGCGTAGCTTTATTGTCGTGGACTTGGTGGCTGTACTTTTTCGTAAATTTTAAAGATGATTTTGCCTTACATGTTTTTTTTTTTTTCACGATAAACTGTTTCACCTGCTTTCGTCACACTACAGTGTATACCGGCGCATAGCTTTTCGAGCCGACACGGAAGGCTGTCCGATATACTATGAATAGTAACGGCACCGAACTGGAACAAGTCGTTCACATACATCGACCATCGTGCCGGAGCGGTTGGTTGAGAGGGCTTGGTTCTCTAAATCCCAATCTTTGTACCTCAGTCTCAGTGGTTTCCAGTCCTTTTTCCTACTTATTCACTTCCGCGAGTGAGAAGTGAAATCGTTTGAAAAAAAATAAAATTACGTTAACATCCAACTTTCTTAGTCTTGCAGCTATTTGCGTAAAAATAACCGGGATATTAGCCTTTTTCTCTGGTTTATAACCGTTCAAAGTGGCTGCTCTCTGGAAGGATGGGGTTTTCACTGTTGTGCTTGCTTCGACTGCACCCGCTAATATTAAAAAGCGAAAGAAGGTAAATCGAGCGGACCACCCGGTTTATGAACTTCTGTCTTTAACTCCTTTGTTTCTTAGCACCTTGGTCGACAATGGCTCCGTGTGACTACCAACGGTCATGTGACTCATCAGGTGATTACATTTCTCACCAGGACCAGGGGAGTAATTAAAAACCCAGCAAAAACCTTTGAATTTTTGTGAAATTTGATGACGTACTCAGTTAAACAAATTCTTCAACTCATATTCTTTAATTTACGCCTGTCCTTTAAGGAATTATGTTGAGATTAGTTTGGAGTAATGCAGGGTGGATATTATATAATTAATTGGGAGCGTTGCACAGTCAACCCTGTCGACTTTAATTTGCATTTGAAAGCGACCATTTTGTTACAATCATGTTGTCACGCGAGTAGTGTTTTAAGTGGCCAAGTATTGCAATTCCTAGGTAACTGAGCAGTCGCACAGGAATTTTCCCACATTTTGTACATCGTAGAACCCTCAAGTTTAAACAATTTTGTGCGGTACATGAAATTGTGCGAGTTCGGGTTGAATTGAGTTCCTTGAGGTTGGAACATAGACGGAACAGGATCGCAACAATGAAGCGTGAAAATTAAAAGGTCTTGAACCACAATGGCGGATATTGTGGTCAAGAATGGCTATAACGGGTTCAGCAATTCCAAGAAAAACAGGGACAACTACAAGCGAAGGCAGAATTCATTTAAATTACCACCGTTAGAAGCTCACAAAGAAGATTTAATCTACGGCGAAGACAAAGCACAGTCACCTGTTTTGCAGCCTTCGCTTTCTGTCAATACGACTGCCTCAACCGAATTTGTTATTCTGCTCGACGATGAGATTCGAAGAATTCATCAACTTAGCGTAAATCTAGGAATAACGCACCACTATGAAGTTGCAGAGTACCACAATCGCTTTCATTGTCGCAGGCTTGGGCTACTGCCGAAGTTAAAGGAATCCAAATCCTGGAGACAAAGTCACAATTGGAAAAAACGAACGGAAACTGGCGGCATAAACGAATTTGATCTTCGGCGGAACTTCGTCACATCTGGAAAACACTTTGATACTTCAAGTGTACAGTGGAATAATTTGCCCAGAGGACGAAAGAAATTGCTTGAGCCTGTTAATATACCAGCTTTAGGATGCTCATATCGATTACCAATCCTAGAGAAACAAAAACACAAACCAGGGTAATGGAGTCAATGTTTTGAATTGTCCTTATTTGTTAGGCTTTGTGACCGAATCGACACCAAATCCAACCTTTTTACTTGGATAATCTCGCTTATTATTTCACTTTTTTGTCTTTAATACCTAAATGAAATAGATCAGTGGCTATGATAACGATTTTTTTTTTCAGTATAATGATGTTTCTCTTTTGTTTTGTTTTGTTTTTTCTTTGGCGCAAACCGTTTTAACATCAATCACTCACCCTTGAAAGCCAATATTAATACAGGAGAACCTCGATATAACGAAGGGCCAAGGGACTGGCAAAATGTGTTCGCGATCGCTATAACGAAGTTTCGTTATATCGAGAGGTTCTTTTCCTTATAGTTTACTATTAGAGGGGTAAAGAAAATCTTTCGTTATACCGAAGACTTCGTTATATAGAGGTTCGTTATATCAAAGTCTTAACTCGTCGTTATATTATCAAACAGAGGTATAATGGCGCCAAATAGTAATTAAAAGTGAATTTACATGGAAATCATTCTCAAATGAAGGCAGAGGTTGAAATTTCTTTCAATAACAACTAAAAATATATTTGTCATGTCTTTATTTTACTGGTTAAATGTCACTGTCTAGTCAAAGCCCATGAAAAGTTAGTCTACTAATTTCCAAACGAAAGCAAAAAATTAATATTCCTTATAATAACAAACATTAAGTTTTTTTAAGCTTTATACAAATGATTGTATATAGAGTAATGTCCATGTGAAGTTTGTCTTATCAACTAAGGTAAAGTATCGTACCATTTTTTGCCTGTAACGTCCAAGAAATAAAGTAAACCTAAGTAAGGATTGATATATCGCAAATGTGATGTTTTTGGTATATACCTGCTGG